TTAGAAAGTGTCTAAAACTTTGCATGCTCTTTAACTGATTAATACTTGGAAAGTACTCAAAGGAAGAAAAAGGACTAATGTACATATGTGTTTATTACGTATATCTAATGCTAGAAAATTTGAAGGAACTTGAATGTTTCATGATTTAATGATTAAGAAAATTATACGTTTACCTTTGATTAACTGTAACACAAAAATGAAAATGATAATTATGTTAGCTTTGCAATACCATAGAAAATGTTTAGATATGTAATGTGAAAAAAAAATGTGTAATGTATTTTAATTCTATGAAAATATACAAATGAGAAATTAAAAGTTTAAAAAGTGATAGCTATATTAGCATGGTGGTGTTTTAGATGATAATCTTTATATCCATTTTCCAAATATATTTTTTAAAAATAACTAATAAAGTGTTTTAATGCATAACAGTTCTGAATTGCAAGCTTCGTGCATTGCTGGTGGGAATATAAAATGGTGAAGTTGTTATAGAAAATAATATGATGGCTCCTTAAAAAATTAAAGAGAATTGACATATGATTCATCACTTCCATTTCTAAGTGTCTCCCCAAAGAACTGAAGGATTCAAACAAATAATTGTACACCATATTCATAGCAACATTATTCACAATAGCCAAAAGGTAGAAGTAAAATAATTATTCATGAACAGAGGAATGAATAAACCAAATGTGGTATATATACATATGATGGAATATTATTATACTTTAAGAGGAAAGAAATTGTGACACATAGTACAACATGGATTAACTTTGAAAACCTTATGCTAGATATAATAAACCATTCACAAAATTACTATACAAATATTGTATGATTATATGAGGTACCTAGAGTAGTGAAATAAAGACTATATATATAGAGACAGTTACCAGGGATTTGAGGATGGAGTAGTAGGGAGTTATTTTTTAATAGGTACAGAATTTTGCAAGATGATAAAGAGTTACGGAGATGGCATTGTGAATATACTTAATGCCACCAAACTGTACAATTAAAAATAGTTTAAGATGATAAATTTTATGTTATGTGCATTTGACCATAATTAACAAAAATTCAAGGTTAAAATGGTAAAATTTTATGTTCTGTATATTTTACTGCAATAACATTTTTTAAGTGGTCAAGATGCAGTAGTTATATTTCAGAAGTTGAAAGGGGGCTAGATTAGGGGCTGTATTAGTACAGTGCAGTGAAGAAGTGGAATTCATAAAGCAATTTGAAAGAGAATTCTAAAGATAAATGTCACCAAATTACAGTCTGGTTAAACTGAAATTTGTGATTAAAATCTGTTCTGTTTATCATGCTTTTTTCTAAGCCCATGTTGGTAGGAGAAGTAAAAAAAAAAAGTAATTGTCAGACTAAAATGAACTTTGAATATTATAATTTTAGAGATGAGATATTTGCTTTACAATTAAAAAAACAACAACAACTGGAGGGTCAGAGAAGTTATACAGATAGTATTTTAGTCAGCTCTTTTGCTTCTGGGCCTAAAAGATCCAATGAGAAGAATTTTAGAAAAGTTTATTTGGGGCTCATAATTTCAGAGGTTCCAGTTGATAAGACTGCTGGTTCCATTCCATAGGGCTCTAGATGAGGCAGAATATGATGGCAGAAGAGTGTGGCGGAAGGAATCAGTTTACATGATCAGGAGACAAAAAGACTCTACTTGCCAGATAAAAATTATATACCCCCAAATCACTACCCCAATGACTCACTTCCTCCGGCCACACTCTACCCACTTTCAGTTACCACTGAGGTTCATCTTGTCAGATGATTAATTAACTGCTTGGGTTAAGCCTTTCATGACCCAGTCATGTCTCCTCTAAACCTTGCATTGTCTCACACATGAGTTTTTGGGGGACACCTCACATCCAAACCTTAACAGATAACAGATCTGAATAGAACTGACATCTTGACTTATTACAGTATTATTTAGATTTTATACTACCACATGCAGGCCAGATTCTAGTCTTAAATTTTAAAAAATCATTTTATGAAACATTTGGTTATTTCTTCTCTACTGGGTAGTCTTATGTCAAAACATGAAGTTCCTGTGCAATATTTGCTTACACTCCTACTTTTGATTTTTAAAAAATATTCTCAAGGAATTGGTTAACTTCACAACTTTCCCTCTTTGATCCTGAGAGGTTGCATTTCTTTACTTTTAAGAATAATCTAGTTTACAAACTATAGCCTAAATATCTTTACTATTCCATTCTCATCAGTAATTGTGAGACTCAAAATAGAAGTGATACTGAGTTTAATCTCCTAAAGTTTAGGCACTGCATGAAATCAGAACACTTGGTTCAAGTGACAAAAATTCACTCTCAAAGGATTCATTGGCTCATGTAATTGGGAAGTCCAAGGGTACACCTTAAAGAAAGACTGCATCTGGAGGCTCAAATACTGCTGTAAAACTTAGTTTCTCTTTGTATTGCCTTATTCTTCAAGTAGACTCTTCTAGAGGCAGACAAATATATGGCTGCCAGAGACTTCAGTTACTCTCATCCTCTCAGTTAACAATTGCAATGAAGTAAATAAACCAAAGAACTCTCTCCAGATGTCCATATCTTAGTATCAGGCTCTGTGTACCCACCCACTCCTATGACTGGTAGTCCCATCTTTAACACATAAAATTGGGGCAGGGTGTTCCAAAGGAATTTACAGAAAGGGGATAGGGAAATTAACTAGGCAGGAAAAAAGGAACAATTCTCATTGTCCACTAAACTAATATTTTCCTACTTTATAATGAAGCAACTCCTTTTTTAATTCCAGATACAGTAAACACCTATGTTCCTGTTTGATTTATTATATTTTAAATCATATTAAATTTAAAATATCTCCTTTTGGTTTAACATTTGAATCCCTTTCCTTTATGGAATTTTCCATAACCAAAAACCCCTGATATATTCTGCTAATTTTTAGCAATTATTTTGATGTACAATTACTTTCTCTAAAATGCTAATGATTGATGGGTAGAAGTATGAGTTTTTTCATCTTTCTAAATACTTAGCAGCTTCAAATTCTAGAGTTTATATTTAATGGCCCCCTTTAAAAAAGATATGGAATTAATTTTATTTATTAAAGCAGGAAAATATATCAATACATTTAAGAAAAAAATTTTCCAAAATTTTCTGAATGACTTATTAATCAAAAATTAAACCATTTAATAATTCTCTAATCTATGAGCAACATGTTATCTAATTTAGTTTTCTATTTAAAATTTTTATAATTGTACACTTGTGCCTCTGTGTCTTTTTTTGTAGTGTAAGAAGTTTGACATAGTGTAATTTTTGTTGAGGCTATAAAACTAACTTGTTACATGTGACCTGTATGCTATAATTTTATTTGCATTTGTCAATGAACATGTATGTGCATGTATATAATGTTGTTTAAAAACTCCAGTGGTGGTAGTTTTAGGATATTTTGTTGCAAATAGTGGCTTAATGCCTAAAATAGAACACAGTCCTTCACGCAGAAAATTAACCAGGGAAATATGCCAATTTGGACTTCATTTCCATCCTATTGAATGACTGCATTCATTCTTTTTAGATTTAAAGCTTTTCATTTACTGTTCCCTCAACACTTTTTATATAGAATTCCAGCTTGCTTTTCACCTATCTTTTAACAGTTTAACATAGATGGCTAGATCAAGTCCATTGTTCCAATTGTATGCAGCTTAAAAAGCTCTGCAGTATTTTACTCTTTCCATTGTATCTGGCTTCCCTGAGTGCTCTGCTCACTGCATTTTACTGTACTCCTGGTTTCTAAACCCGTTTATGCCTATTCTTTCTGAAGACACTTGTTCATCTGGGAGCTTAAATTGACTTCTCCTCACTCTATTTCCTTAACTAAAACTGTACCATTAAGGTTGATTGAAGTCTTTTAAAACACTTCATAAAAAATGAAAGGCTATAGAAAAGTAGGCTACCAGTGTTTGTAAATATGTGTTTTAAGCCAAATTGATAGGAAGGAATAAGAAATAATTGGAAACTTAAAAATGTTATTGATATATATTTTCAAATAGATTAGTTTGTTTTTGGTTCTTTTTTTGGGAGACATACTTGTAAAACATTCTAGGAAGGAGGGGAGAGGGAGCATTAGGTTATAATTAAAGACGAAACAAATAGTAGAGCCAAACCACTAAAATTATCAAAAACATTCTCTGGAAAAGAAAAACCTAATTTTACAATAAGATGTAAAACACACAAGTCATGAGTAATATAACTTTTTTTCTAATTAGAATATAATTGTTATTTTATGGTTTGCAAAGTAGTAAGGACATCATTAATCTTTTTTCTGCCTATAATATTTAACTCTGCTGGAATGAAATAGTTTAAACATTTAGAAATTAGAATTAGAAAATTAAATGCCAGGAAAAAACTTAGAATACTATGTGAAAGATAATTTATGTCTATTTCTGTTAAGTGTGATAAATGTAATTCATTTAAAAAGCTCACTAAAATATATTATCCTGATGGATTCTTATTCATAAATGATACAATACAAAGAAGAATCTAAAGTTATTTCAGAATCATTGCTGTCTTCTGTGGAACATGGCAATGTTGATGAATTGATTTTTTGATTTACCTAAAATATCATATAGTTAAGACCTAATAAAATATAAAAGATAAATAATTTATCTTAAGGTTATTAATATTTAAAAAGTACTTCTAAGTTTCTTTGAATATGCTTTTCTCTTTTTAGTTCACATTTTTTCTATTAAATTGTTAATGTTATCTGAATTATAAGGAAAAATCATCACCAAAACAAAATTTTAAGATAAAAATGCATAGACTGAGAAATATCTTTGAGTAGTTTTCAAAACACTTTTATTCACAAAAGAATAATGGTATAATTGTATAATTAATATTTTGTAAGATAAAAACAAAGTATTTTTTATTAAACTTTAATAACATTTTATTGTATTCCTTATTAAACTAGTACTAAAAGGCAGCCATGAATTTAAATTGTAATTTAGTATAGGGTTTTCTTTTAAAATATTTCAGTAATGTAGGGAAGTGTAGAAAAATGAATAAAAAGTTATGGCATCAGAAAAACCAATCAATTTCTAATCCATAAACAAATTGATTTGGTTAGATTTATTTAATAACTAATGGAACTTGGCCATAAATACTTGCTTCTACTCATAAAGAACTATAAATGATTTACTTTGTAAGTAACATTTAATTGAAACCAAGAGCCTAGAAAGTGACTAAGCTCTAATTTTTAAAAATATTAAACATTCTCATAACATTTGATAAAAAGACATGGCAGGATTATTTTAAAACTAGTCATTAATGACTATAAATACATACATGCAGTGTAAGTTCATAGATAACAGTGTATAATCTAAATTCTAGAACAAACATGTTCACAACCATAGTTAATTTTGTGCCAATAGAAAAATCCAGGGCTATAAAAATAGGAGTAAGCAATAAAGATCTTATTGAACAATTAATTATAATAAATCTTCATGTATAGAAATCAGAAGATCAGTATGACATTATCTATGTTCATTTCAGCTTGGTAGGCTTCTAATCTATAAAGTGTCCTAATTTCTAGCTTGCAAGGTTGTTTGTGGAATTGGAAATTGAAAACAAGTCATAAAATCCTGCATATGATTACAAGCAAAATAAATCTATCAAGACATTTGCTGGAAGCAAAAAAATAATACTTTTGCTGTATTGCAGGTACAGAAATTATATATTTTATCTAAATGCTGGAAGAAAATGAATAGTTGACAGTCTTTACATACATTAGGGGTCTACAATAAATGATTAAACAGCACATTATTAATAATTAATTGCCAATAAACTTGTAATGGAAAAAAGAATGAATTTGGAATTGAAAAAAATGTAGAACTAGGTGTGATATGTATCTATAGTCACAGTTTCTATGTAAGTGAAGATAGTACATGTCATACTTATTTCATAGTATTATTATAAATCACTTAAAATGTGGGTTAGTGGTTTGTAAATTTATAACACTTTTGCAATCAGTTGTTTGGTATAATTTGTAACTATAACTTAAATTTCAGTTTGTGAATTATTTACTTAAAATCACTTAGAGCAGATTTAAAAATCACTCCTATAAAAATCACTTACATTCAATAACATTTTCATTTTTTTTGTTGAATAGGGATGGAATAGGGGTATAGCTTTGCCTTATGAATTGTGTATACTAATAGCTTAGCCTATCTAGGTATTTCCAGGGGAGTTGTATACCATGTTAATAACATCTGCTGTTGTAACAGAAAAAATTCAAAACTGCTATGCCAAATCATGTAAACAATCACCCATTCAGTACTTTTATATGAAAATACTTAATTGTGTATTTATATTAAAAGGTTCTTAAAGGTTGGGTCTATAGTTATATTTGGTGTAATACCTACCAATGCCTAAATATGTGTTTATTATTAGTGTTGCTATCAAATTATGTATTAAAATTATTTTCAAGAAGCAATTCAGATGTAATTAAAAATTTATAAGAATTACAAAATATCTCAATTTAGTGATGTGAGCTAACTTTCAATTCAAATGAAAAATCTCAAATATAATTTAAAAATCCATAGGAAAAATGGTTAAAAATGTGCAAAAATGTTAACTGTATGTGGTATATTTTTTTCTGCTTCCTACTTTTCTATAACACTTTTCTCCAGTGAAAACTTATTATATTTACTTTTCCACTTACATATTTAAAGATACTTTTGTTATTAAAATGACATATATTCAGCATTTCATTATATATAATCATAAAAGAAAAAGCAAATGATACCAGCTTAGTAATAGTGTAGACATTGTCACAGTATTGTAATAAAAGCAGTTGCAAAACTAAAGGGCAACAAAGACATCTTCTGGACATCTTAAGAATTGCATAGTTATTTTTTAAACAAAGGACCTTATTTCCATTGTGTAATAGTTATTTAAAAACCACACATTAAGAAGGGCAAAATCAATCTATAATTAGGTTTGAAATTTTAAATATTACATGATTAAATTACAAACATACAATAGTTGAGGAAGAAAAATACAAAATCACTGCATATACATTGGAATGCTATCTTTGCAAAATTTCTTTGAAATTATTGCCAGATAGATTTATTAAAGTATAAACATTTTGGAAAAAACAATTTATTTTTATTAAAAGAAATATCATGAAAGCTATATGAAATATATATATTGAACCAATACTTTAAAAATAGGATACTTTCTGAATCATGGAGCCCTTTTATATCAAAATATAATTTGGTCACCAACTTAAAGAACTGTACTTAAGAAATTAAAACCATATTTAATTGATTTATGATATTTTAGGTATGTAATAGGTTAGGAAAAAATTCTTTCCAGTGAAATATAATTATTAAAGATCAAAACTGTTCACTCAGTTTGAACGTATGTTTTCAGACAAACTACTTGAAAATTGTTTCCCTGTAGACACAATTCAATTTGTACAAAAAAAAAAAAAAAAAGAATCTTTCATTCTGAGGAACCAGTATTGATGTTTACTATTTGCATCTCTAAACAAGTTTGAGGGAAGATCTGGTTTTAGAGATTTTGTTGTTTTTTGTTTTTTTCTCCCAGGTATAATCCTAAAAATCTGTAACAAACAACTAGCTTTAGCAATGGTTGTGTTTGGTAAGCAATGTATGCTTTAGTAAATTTCAAATGAATATGCTATGAATGAAAGTGTGCTTATTTCCTAAAATTACCTTTTCCTAATAATTTCAGATGACAGACAATAATTGAATATCAGAACTAGGCATTTGATTCTCTGGATTTTGTTTTATGTGACTTTCATTTTTTTCAAATTATTGAATGCTATTAACAGTTCATGATTTTTATAATATAGAAATCCAAATAATTAAGATAACCATAAAGAAAGTTTAAGAGAGGTGATATTAAATCAAATTCATCAGGAGTGATAGATCATCTTCAGTTGGCACTGAAGTGCTTCAGTAACATGAGTAACATGATTCTCTTATTTTTTTTTTTTTCACTGACTACTGTCTGCTAGCTTTTGCACAACTCCCAAAAGAAATAGGTTTCCTGGCATATGTTCATTTGTGTAGGCAGTTACATTCGATTTGATCTTGAAAAGGTGCTCCCAGGAATTCTGTAAGAAGTAGGATATTTATAAGTCAAATAATGGTAACTTATTATCTTAATGAGGTAGTTAAGGTAATTGTACAGTAAATAATTTCTACATTTAAAAAATATTTACTTTTTAGTTTTTTTTTTTTTTTAGGTGGGAACAATATTTTTATTTTATTTCTATGTGGTGCTGTGGATTGAACCCAGTGCCTCATGGATGCTAGGCGAGTACTTTACCATTGAGCCACAACCCCAACCCCATAATTTCTACATTTTATATGCATGCAATTTCATAAAAATAATATAAAGGAGAAAATGATTCTATTTTTGAAAAATAGGTTATCCTGAGAATTCACTGAAACACAACTGATTCTAGCAGGAGAGTCAATGCAGAAAGAGCCATGCCTATACTAGATCTGCTACTGGAGAGTGAAGGTATAACTACAAAATATCTGGGGGCAAGCAACTGAGAAATACAGGCAGGGAAGTTTGGACTCTGAATGAGAATTAACACTGTTCTTAGGATTGAGCTGGCTGTATGGCTGGGTCCAGCCTAGAAAGGGTAATAAGTGGGAACTTGAAAAAAAGCTTTGAAGAATTTAGAAAATTCTTTACCCTCACAGTTGCATAATTGAATTTATCTGCTGTTCAAAATTTAAGTAAACTACTTTCCAAATTCAGTGAGTAGAGTGGAGAAAGAATACAATTAAAAGTAGTTCCCAGATAATTATTTCAGTGTTACCTCCCTGGTGAGCACTTGGAATTTCTTGAGGACTATTCAACCCTGATTGTCATTTCGAATCTTTTGAATTATGATGTGAATACTCTGAACTTTGGGAAAGGTTTGGTGAATGGGTGAAAAGAAGCCCTATGTTGATAACTTTTCTCAGCTATCAGTGTACATATATAATAATACATAACATATTTACTACACTTCTATACATGACTGGCAAATATGGAGAATTTTTTTAAAATGGTTAAAAATAATGGTATTAAAATAGAATAGCTTGGGGCTAGGGTTGTGGCTCAGTGGTAGAGCACTTACCTAGCATGTGTGAGGCACTGGGTTTGAGTCTTAGCACCGCATATAAATAAATAAAATAAAGGTCCATCAACTACTAATAAAAACGTTAAAAAATAATAGCTTACCTTCCCTCATTTTGGTTGCTCTGGTACATTTGTGCAGTTGGAGATGCAATATTAGGATGTGACAGAAGATTAGGAGAGAGATTTATCCCTCTAAGTTGCCGAAAAGCTATTTCTGCATGGATGCTCCGAGGATTACTTGTCAGGATCCCTGTATTCTTGTCTTTTTTGTCTGAATTTGTAGGAATTCAGACAGTTAAAATTATGAAACAATGAAAAACATTAAGTAATAAGGTTTGGATGTGGGTAAGACGAAAATATGTTGTACATGTTTTATAGTATGAATTAAACATTTAAAATAAAAATATAAAATTGGCATATAGCACTTAATGTGGCTTAAATTTTTGTGAGTTAGTGGATCAATTTGATCCTTTCTGGGTAATTTTTTTAAAATACAAATATCCAGATCTGCATGCTGTAATAAATGTACAGATGAAGTAACTATACTTTTCAAAATACAACTTAGGACACCAAAATGAAAAAAAAAAAAAGGAAAGAAATTAAGGACTTTTCCACGAAATCCTAACAAATCTTGAAGAAGGATATATGAAAAGGAAGTTATGAAGATGAATTGAGGATTGAACTAATAGGGAAAAGACATTCCTGAAAATGATAGTACACTGTTAGGGAAGCTAAAAACAATTTAGTGTGCCCAATTTTGTGTATAGTTCTACCTACTGGACAAAAACAATTCTCATTTTTACTAAAACTGAAAAGTCATAAAATATGTGGAAGTATGAAAAATAAGATAAATCTAACAATAAATTAGCTAGGTGTCTTTTAATTGTGTTTACTTTAAAACTGTAACCATATTGAGTAATTGCCTACTTTTATATAGTAGGCTTTTAAGATAATTTTGTAATTGTTGTGATGTTGAGTTTTATTATCTAACAGTGGTGTAAGGACAAGGGAAAGTTAAAAGGAATGGAAGTGGTGAGCCCTGAAGAAAGACTAGCTATCCCCAATTTTGCTGAAATAATAGATAGCCAGTTTAAGATCTGGAATTCTGGAACAGGTTTGTTCTAAATCTGAATTAAAATGTGTATAATAAAATCATTTCCTTGTCCTGTTCTTTTAGTATATTCCCTCCTTCAACCTCTTGAAACTCTTCCCTAATTGCTTCGTAAATTTACCAGTGGTTTTAGTGAAAAAATATGACCTCTTTCTAAGATATCCTCTATTCCCAAAGATTCTGTTGTTGTTATTATTTATTTATTATGGTACTAGGAATTGAATTCAGGGACACTCTACCACTGAACCACATCCCCAGCCCTTTTTTTATGCTTTGAGACAAAGTCTCACTAAATTACCCAAGATGGCTTCCAAACTTGTGATTCTCTTGCCTTACCTAGCCTACCTCATTGCTGGGATTACAGGCATGTGTTACTGTGCCCAGCTCTGTTGTTATATTAAAAATTTTCTGATTTCTACAGTTAACAGGATTTACTAATGAACTATGATCCTAAGATAGCTACTATATAAAGAAAATTAAAGTTTTGGAAACAGTCAGGAAATAATAGGGCAAGTATCACAAAGTTTACACTGTGAGAGAGCAAATGTTTAACTAGTTTAGTAGTTGAGTAGAACAAAAACTACCATAGTCTCTGAAATCAGAATGGCCACAGAAAACTTGAACATACAATTTTAAGAAATATAAATTAAAAACACCCGATTTTAAGGAATATTAAGAGTAAAGTGAGATTTTCATTTCAAATGTAGTGTTTTGTTTACAGTCTCTGAAACTCTTGTCAAAATACCTTCAACTTCAGGAGTTAAAGTGAAGTCGGGTCCCAAGTAATGGCTAAATCCACCAGGCAGAATTACATTTGTTATTTTAATGGGAGATGCTTTCATTGGGCAGAATGATCCACCATCCATAGGAGAGTTGGTAACAGGAGTAAACTACATAATAAAACAAAACAATTAAAAACACCTTACCTCCAAATCTTAGATCAACAGGTTTAGTCTTCACCACAAACCTCACATGACAATCAAATTTTTCTTAGTCAGCAGTTAACATGGTTGCCTAAACACAGAACTGGTACTAACTAAAACCTGTAGAATCCACAGAGCTCTCTGGGTGATTAACCTTATGTTCTGTTTCTTCAGACTGCTTTTGCACTCAGCACTAGAAGCTGGTGCTTCATGGCACTTCCTCTTTTCAAAGTGTATTAATAAGGTAAGTGTAGAATTAAGAAAATTAGAATTAAGACTCCTCCATTTGTAATGTTTCTTCTTTTTCACATTACCTCGTCAGGTGCCTTGCAGGTAACTTAGTTTTTCAAAACCAAGTTAATAAAATAGGGACTAAGAAAAGCAAATTACAATAATTATAATGAAAGTGGTAAAGCTTTAAATAGTATTTACAATGTAAACCATCAAGGATTAAGAGACTTTTAAGAATTTCAGGAATCAGCAAATGGAGAAGAAAAGTATTTTGAGAGGGAAACTTGCTGTCCCTAGAAATTTATGACCCCTCTGATGTCATTAATACTATGAATTTGTTTATACTTTTAAAGATATGAATTCTGAACATATTATTGAACCTATTTAGAGACACAGGCCTTTGCCATTTGTGTAAAATTACTGATTTACTTCATACTTTCTTGTTACCAAGAAGACAGCTTTGAAATGAATGGTTTTTACTAAAGCTGGCCAGTCTCAAATTCCCTTATTCCTTTGTGGGAGTTACTTCCTATCACTAATCTAGAATGCTAAAATTTAACAGCATTCTATTAGGAATTAGAAAACTAATTTCAAAATGTTTTGGTTTAAAAGACAGCTTTTAGAGTTCATTTCTCCTTTTTCTGGTGTTTAAAAGCAAGAATAGCAGTCACAAAGATTAGTATATTAGACTGAACTGATAATGGCTCAATTTTGTTTTTGCCATGAAAATGAGAATTACTGTTGAATCAAAACATATATCTCCAGAATAAAGACTTCAAATACACCCTTTGTTTTACTAACCATGTATTGATGAACCAAAAAACAAAATTTAAAATAAAATGTTTACATATAGAAAAACTAAGTGGAAAGATAGTTAAATTCTTTTATGGAGCACTGATTCAAATGGCAAGAATATAGACTAAGATTACATCATAGAAGAGCATTGGGAAAAATCTGGGTTCACTATGTAAGATATAGAAAAAAAAGGACAATAAATAAACTTTTCAATGAAATATTCATCATTGACTGAAATTTAAGTTAATGTACTTTATTCTGCTATATGAAAAAAAATTTTAAAAATTACCTAGGGAAATTGGGATCTTTAAATATGTTTTAAATGATTTTTTAACATTACTTTAAAATAGAATCTATAAATTTTAATATGATAATTTTTATAGGTTTCTCAATAAAGCCCTTACATGAGGTATGATAGAATAATTTCTCTCTCCCAGAGATGTTCAATATCCTAATCTCCAAAACGTGTGAATATTTTACTTTACATAGCAGACGAATTTGCAGGTGTGATAAGGTTAAGGATTTTGACATGGGGAGATTACTGTGACTATCTAGATGAAGGGAGACAGAAAGATCTGATAGAGAAGAGATGTGATGATGGAAACATGCGGTCTAAGTGATATATTGCTGGAAGAAGCCAGTAGCCAAGGGATGTAGATAGTCTCTGGAAACTGGTAATAGCAAAGAACAAGTTCTCTCCTGGAACTTCCAGAAGGAATGCTGCCTAGCCAATGCTTTTTTCAGATGTCTAATCTCCAGAACTGTAATATAATAAATTTTTATTGTTTTAAGGCACAAAATTTGTGATAATTTATTGCATTTGGAATAAAAAACTAATTCCTGAGGCATACAATTTTCAAGAAGTGACTTGCTCCAGGAATACAAAATCAAGAAAGGGAAAGAAACCTTCAATTACTGAACTATATTTTATTTCATCTTTTTTTTCTCTTTTGAAAGACTGGCCTGTGACAAGAATTTGAGTACATGAGACATGTAGTGCTTTTCTTTATCTACATCATACAGATTGATGGCTAAGATTTTTTATAAGACATATATTTTAGAAAAAATGTAGATATCCACAAATCATTTTTATTAATATTAATAACTTTTATTAACATTAAACAACTTTGTTTCACAAGTCTCTGTGGATACTTTGACCTATAGTAGAAACTCCTTTGTTAATTAAAGTCAATATTAATCAGAAAAGTTAGGATTAATAAAAAATTCAGGAAGTCATAAAAATATATAGTAAATATCTTTTAAAAAATTTATAACATAAAATTACATGCATTTATAACATAAAATTACATGCATTCACCAATCTTCTGATAAAGGGGCAAGTTCTTTTCTGTAAGCAAGGGTCTTTTGATTGGTATTTTATCTGATTTTTCTTGGATAAAACATACCCTTTAAGGTTTTTCCTACAATTTCCAGTTTGGGTTTCTTTAAAATAACAAGAATTTAAATATATGTGAGGAAAATTTGAATATAAGAATTTGTCTAGATTTTAAAAAATAATTTCCCCATATATTTTCTCTAAATTTTAATAATTTTCTCCTTTATTTTATAATTTTTCTTCCATACCTAATTTGACATTATATACTAATAGTGTGTGTGTGTGCTTGCTTTTTATCCAGACTTTCTAGTGAGTTAAGTGAAAGCCAATTAGGAGGGCTTCTACAGTAAATATCTCTTTCCTCTGCAAGATGCCTTTTTAAAAATAACCTCTGTTCCTTAACTTTTTAATGTCCTTGGTCTCTGGTTTTCACTTACATAGAGGCTCACTTATATTCTTCATCCACATCCATCCAGGTCTTTGCAATCTCTCTCTTGGATTATTCTTAAAAATCTCAACTGGTTTCCCTATCTCCCCCAGTCTCTTCTTCCTCACATTTTACAAATAATGTTTGGTCTTGTTCAAAAGCCATTGATTTTCTGTGTTAAATTTAGTCATTAGGGCAAAGTCATTAAGAGAAGGGGTGGTCAGTGATAGAATTTCCTAATGATATGTTTTTGTGGTTTCTTCTGTCTCTCTTTCCTACCATAGCCAATTCATTTTAGGGCCCACAGGTAAAAGGCCCAGTAATTCTGCCAGCATACAAGAAAAGAGACACATATCTCCATTGTTACGTGAACTGTATGACACAGAGTTGAGGTGAGAACTCATTCCTTCTCTTCCTCTCTGCCTAAGTGGAAACAATTTTATTATTAGTTTCTTTTCATAAAAATGTTGTTATAATTTCTTACCTTCAAGCATAATCTGATATATTAAGCACATAGATACTAAATAATTTGTCAAGGTACATTAATAGAAAAAGGTAGTTATCACAAAACAGATACTATAATAATCTATAAAAACATAGATTTAAACATTTTAAGTCACAATGTATAAGATATAATGTTCATTTACTAATAATATATATGTTTCAAAAGGAAAAGTATCAATAATATAATTACCATATTTTTCTTTGCTTGTAGTTCAGAGAAGTGAAATTCAGCTTTTACTCTATCTTCTGAATTTACAGGAATTCCATCTAACATCTGTAAGTTAGGCAGTCGAAATATGAGCTCATGACGATGTAGCATTTTTCTACAAATCTAAAGAAAGTTAAACATAACAATTTATTACTAAAATCACTTTTACTTCAAATATTAACCTTTAAAAGAAGGCAGTTTAACAAAGACAGCAAAGATGATGGGTAACAATTTATAGTATTAGATACTATACATATGAGCCCCTTTTAATTTCATATCATGCTAAATGCAGGTAAGAATTTTTTTTAGAAAAAAACTAAGGCTATTACTAAGGCTATACTTGTAAAGTACTGTTATTAATTACAGGCAATCTTAATTTTTGGACAGGATTACATTATGAAAGTTTGTTGAAAGTTCTGGAGCTTACATGATATTTTCCAAAAGGAACTATCCTATTTCATTTAGTACATATCTGTATGTGGTCCATATGCACCAACTCTTCCTAGTGTCAAACTACTCCCCTCACCAAAAAAAAAAAAAAAAATTATGAACATGCCCAAGAGGGTATGTAGAAAGTGTTAAATTTAGTAGGTCTGAACTTTAGAATGGTGTGCTTGTACAGATAGATGGCTCTTGACTGGTATTTGGTACTTGGAGTGTTCCCACCATTCCTTAACTGATAAGGGTAGTTCACTGTGCAATATGATTTGTACTCAACCTGCTTCCCTTCTGAGAATCTGGAATTTTGGCACATGATTAGGAGAGGGTCCCTATGTGATTATGTAATCAGTTTCCAACAAAATTCTGTTCCATGTAATCTTCTCACAGGCATGAGCATGAGGAAGTCTGCATGTAGATTCCTCCAGACTTTCCCTTTTCATCTGCATGTGTATTCTACTCTTACCATGTCACTGTAATTAACTATTTTAAAAGAAGATGGTAGATACATATACACTAATGGAGAAATATCTCTAACATATATGATTGATTTAAAACGCATACAAACACACCAAACAACTGACCACATTCAAGGCCACAAAACCAAGTATCATACGTACCAAAATATAGAATATTTCCTTTGATTGAAGTAAAAGAACATCAGAAATAAATGACAAAGAGATAACTGAAACCACATTATTTATTTGAAATGAATACAAAGACATGCACAACAAATTAAATAAGCAATCTTTTGGAAAACAGATGATTTTAAGAATAAAAAATAGTTAAAAAAACTAGGGCTGGAATTGTGGCTCAGCAGTAGAGTGCTCGCCTAGCATGTGCGAAGCCCTGGGTTCAATCCTCAGCACCACATAAAAATAAATAAGTAAAATAAAGATATTGTGTCCAACTACAACTAAAAAATAAATATTAAAAAACTACAAATCAAAACTTTTAGAATGTTGCTGTACTTTGTAACCTAAAATTTATTGATTCAGAAGAAGTATTGAAAATTATTGAGCTAGGTATCCTATTTAAGAATTTTTTTGAAAAGACAATTTTAAAAAACTAAAAGAAAAAAAGGGTAGAAATTAGTGAAACAGCAAAGAAATAATAGCCTTAAAAACCAAAATCTCATTCTTTGAAGTAAATAACTCAATAGACAAACCATTACCAAGATTTATCAATAATAACAAAAACCAAAAATTGACAATTTTAAATATAAAAAGGGTGACAAAAATACACAGGGGAGACTTTAAAAATTCATGAGTTCTATGATAACAATACGTAAAAATTTAGGTAAATTTTTACAAAGAATTTTTAAAAACCATTAGAACTAGAAAAATGGTTCACCAAGTTTCCTAGACAAAGAGAAATATACAAAACCCAGAATTTCTTTACTTCTACAACCCCAAAAATAGAAAAATACAAAAAGGTACCATTTAAAATAGAAATTAAAACAACAGAATAAATCTAGCCAAAAATGATTAAAATCTTTAAGGAGATAATTATGAATCTTAATTGAAAGACAAAAAACAAACAAACAAAAGGAAGATACATGTGTTTTATGAGTGAGAAAGCTGAATGCTGTGTTAGTGGAGACTGCTTATTGACGGTTTTTCTTTTTTGTTTTTTAAATATTTATTTTTTTAGTTGTAGTTGGACTCAATACCTTTATTTTATTTATTTATATGTGGTGCTGAGGATTGAATCTAGGGCCTTGAACATGCTAGGCGAGCGCTCTACCGCTGGGCCACAACCCTAGTCCCTTGAATGTTTTCTTCTTGGTAGAAGTACTATAGCTCCTTGATGTAGCTTTTTCAACCTCTTCACTCCCTCTCCACTAGTAAAAGCAGAGTGACTTAACTGGTAGATCTGGGAAGAGTGAACTGAGCATTCTTGGATCCTCCTTTCTTCTTGGGAAAGAGTTTATTGCTGGGAGAATGTGTCCTCCCACGTAGAGAAGTCTCAGTCTAGTATTTTCTGCTTCTGGGTGATCAGGATTGCCTATTTCTGGGATTAGATAGCATGCCTATTTGGCTTTCTCACTGAAGGGATCCTGCTTTACTGAATGCAACCATCTTGAGACTTCTATGAGTATCCCTATGTAACCCTGTTATGTTTTCCCCAAATAATTTCCCAGCATACTCTAAATGAACAATAAACTTTAGAGGGTTATATGGGGCTTTACAGTGCCAGGAATGTGCCTTATATTTTTGATATTAGCTTGAGATAGATCAGGACATTCTGGCTCAGATGAAAGTCACTTTTGTACTATTATGTAAACCCTTCCCCTCTGACCCAAATCACAGAGATCCAGTGGTCTTGCTGCGTCCTTCACCATACTTGCCAGAAAGTCCCAAATAAATTGCACTCCATGTAATACAAGATCTGTTTGCCTTTCTTCAGTCTCACAGAATCTTGCCATCAGTTATTTTATATCAGATCCAGACCACTAAGCTAAGAAGATATTTTCATTTCTTCACTGTCATTTTTTCCAGTTTGTTCAGATATTAGGTAAACAAAGGTAGTACTTATTGGATCCTCTTGAAGACTCCAACAAGAAAGGTGGCAAATTTCCCTCAAAATTAATTTAGAAATGAATTCAATTCCAATTAAAATACTAACAAAATTTTCATATAATTTGAGAAGTTTGTCCAAAAATCATAGGAAATTTTAATGGGCCAAGAATCACTAAGGCAGTAAAGAAAGAGAAACACATAAGGAGAAAGAGAAGGAGATAGAATAGAAGAATATTTGGAATCTCTTACTCTAACAGACATTAAGACAATATAAAATGTTAGTAATTAAGACAACATAAAAATACTAGCACAACACCAAACAGGCAAATGAATACAATGTAGAACCCTGAAATAGACCTTCTTATATAAGATAGTAGCAGTTTTCCCTGTAATCAGGTAGAAGACACTATTCAATAAATTGTGCTAGACCAATAGTTTTTTTTACATTAATCAATAAATTAACTGGCTATGCAGATAAAATTAATATTATAAAGTCTTTCTCAAAAAATAAATTATATACATAATTAATAAATTAGAAAGGTAACATACTCACTGGATTGCCATAAACTGTAAGCTCCCTGAGAGTAGAGATGACATCAAGTTTTTCTAGTTCTGTGATATCCTGTTAAAAAGAATCAACCAAATTATTTGATTAGACCCCAAATTTTAAAATATGGACTTACTTTATGTAAATTCTGGATTGCAGACAGCTCATAATTAAACCCTATGAAGTGAGCCTGAGTGACAATTTTTTGCATGTTGAATAAAGGCAGATCCATGTACTGTAGATTCAAAATATATGATTGAAAGAGATAGTATTAGTTTAACATGGAAAATGTAAGCAGTGCTTACAAGAAAAGACCAAATAGTTTTTCAGAAGAGTTATAATTTATTCTATGGTTTAGATTATATTTAGCTAATTCCTCCAGAGTATTAATCCAGAAGTGTGGAAAAAGGTGAATATAGTAAAAAAAAAAAAACAATATCAAAGATACACATTTAAATATAATCTTAACAACAAAGGAACAATCAAGTGGACTACATTTGTTGCTATTTCCAAAATTTAACCATCAAACTTCACCTAAGATTTTTACTAGTTCACATTAATACAATGAAGTTATTGATATACCTAAATTTATATTTGGAATTACAAGTGGATACATACAGCCAATTCATCTATATTTAGACCTATTTTAGTTCACTTGGAAGTGGAATTTGATTTTTAAAATGACTGATCTTTTAAAAATTATTTTGATTTTGGAGACATCATAAAGGGGGGCTTTGAAAACACTCAACATCTAGTGATCTATAGATATTGTGCCTTTTTATCCACAGGCAGTTCCTATCTATGGCATCCAAGTCTGATTAGAAGTCAGAAACACATGAGAAGTCTGTACATTATTTTTTCAAAGTACAGCAGTACTTATTAGTGAACTATCCCTAATTGAAATATTCATTTCTCATGAAATATATTAATGCAAGAACAGTATGTTAAATTTTTAGAGGATAATTGTGGCATAAAATTTTAAAGAGATAACAAGCAAACTAATATGTCCATAATTACAGAAAGAGAGCTTTCCATTTTTTATACAGGCCATTTTTTACAGTACTGTGCTGGAGTTAACTTTTACTGGCTCACAAAAGTTGATTGGTATATTTTCAGAAATTTTACAGGATGGTGTTTTAGCTTGCAATTGACCATGGTAGAGGAAATTATACCATGGGGAAATTGGCAAATGCTACTAATTAGGGCTTTTTCTTCTAAAAGTTATACATTAATCACCAGCACATCAGTGGTTATTAGCTTTTGAGTATGGATTGGGGCTTTCATTTAGGTCAAGAAATACCAAAGATTGTTTTTCTGGTGTTACTTATGGCTTCAGGTTATTATCCAGATGTTTAAAAGTAGACAAAGTAGTTGGATGCATGATAGAGCAATCATTCAGATGCAGGAATCAAATGGGACTATAGAGTTGAACTCATCTTCATTTGTGTTTCTGTGATTCTTATAAGCAAGACTATAGGCCACAATTTTCCAAATTTACATTAGTGGACATTGAATAATTTATTCTAGGGCTAATTTATTCTAAGGCTAAGTCAAAACCTTCACACCAGAATCTATTAGATCAAATTAGGGACTGCATATACTTTCACATGAAGTATTATTGTTCTGCTAATTTTTATGAGCTTTTCCCCTCTTATTCTATGAATCATCACCAATCCAAAGGTTGTACTCTAACAGTTTAGTGGAAATTAATGTTGGTATCAGCTTGTCCAAGTCAGTAGAAATCTAGAGACAAAATTCTCCCCTCAAAAAATTTGAAATGAAAGTTAAAAATTTTTGAAGAACATGGTTTTAAAACTTCAAAAGAATCTCCAACTTGCCCTTGTATTCCTCTGGGTTTGTTTTTTTTTCCTCCTAGCTAAATGTATGGTCACATTAAGGTACTATAATATTAATGGTTAGAATAAGTTTAATGGCAAAATGATCAATCTAAACCAATGAAAATACCATTTCAAGGATGAAAATAAGGGCTGATATAATTAAATAATCAATAAAACTCATCCTTTCATTCAATGATAAATGTGTCATTCCCCATGATTTAAAATATAGTTTATCATTTAACTTTATTAGATTTGATAGTAAGCCTGACTAAGCATTACTCTGTTTAAGTTGCCAAGGAGAAAGTTGCCATACTAGCTGACCTGTCTATTCAGCCCCCTAAGAGGAACCAGGGGGCTGGTGAGGTAGGGGGACACTCCTGGGGAAAACCCAATTACCGGGTATAATCTTGTAAGAATGCTGATAACTGGACATCCTGTCAAACAGAACAATGATATTTGTTGGGAAGAAGGTCTTTATAGTATTCTCTTAGCTGATCTGCCTGGCTAAGGACTGTTTACAGTAAATATATCTGGAGTCCTTAGAATTATAAGGTAGCTCCCTATATAATGTCACATAAGCTCAAGTTATAAAATGGAAATGTTTCATAAATTAAACACTCCCTTGCTATATGAGATTACTTCACAGAATCTGACTTTCAGACCTCATCTTTTAGTGTAGTTAATGTGTATGATGTGGGAATAAAGGATCTGCAAAGCATTGGAATGTTCCTATAGTATTCTTGAAATTATTAGTAAAGCCTGATGCCATATAAGATCTTTTTCTTTCTCCCCTCTCTCTTCTTTGTCTCTGTCTGTCCGTCTCTCTTTCATGCTGGGGACCAAACCAAAGGTCTTGCACATGCTAAATACATATTCTTCCACTGAGTTACACTCCTGGCTATAAGTCCAATTTTTCAGTCCTATGCTTAACCCAGTTGTTATCACTGGAAATATTTCCAATAAAATAGCAATTTTCCAAATTTAGATTTCTTCTAAGTAAATCTTTGGAAGAATCATCACCAGTTTGGTAGGCTTTTCACAGATGAATGTTTGAATCTGGGTAAATTAGTTGTGTATTGTTTTTCTCTGTATGTACATTCTCTACTTGCTATGTAGAAAGGGTCACTGCTCATGATTTCCTTCTAATCTTGGGAGAGAGCTTTTATATCACTCAGAAAAGGCTTCATGAACTATATCAAAGAAGACCATAAATATTTATCAAGCATCTACTCTGTACCATGTATATGCTATATACTGATAAAGATGTAAACGATATAATTTTTTTCCCCAGACCTAGAGAAGTACTCCAGAGTTCAGTTTGTTGTTGAGGCCGTCTTAGAAGTATGGACAGAAATAGAAGAGTGAAAAGAAGCTAACAGAACATTACCGAAATGCTAAGAAAAATATAAGGACTGCATAAGATAATGTATTCAGCTCTCTATTAGTATAGTATCTCAGGAGAGAGTCTAAGCAGACTCTGTGGCCTAAAAGTAGAAGTGGCCTAAATAGGTAAAACTAAAGGGAATCTGTGTAAGGAAGACTTGAGTGGGAAGAGTTGGAATATCAAAGTCATTATAAGGAGTTGAATCAAAATACATGTAGAACAAGTATGCCAAATTTTATGAGCAAGAGGAAGTCTGAAATTGAGACACAAAACCCAGCTGAATCAATAGTAGTCAAGGAACAAATGATAAGTCTAGGAGAGGACTGATGAGACAAGCCTGAGAACATTTAGAGCCAACAGTTATCAATGGGTGGATGCATATGGGTTTGCCCAGTTTATAAGTCTAGATGTAGGGTGGACATGTCTACATCACAAAGTATATGCCTCAAAATATACATGTATATAAATGATAAATAACATTTACATACTAGCAAAAATTTCATTGGTATGTTTGGAAGCTTTATGTTTAGTGTTTAGAGGAATTAAAGCTTATAAATCTCAATACAACAACAACAAAAATGTTACCTGGATTTTATTATATCCTAGGAAGAGTTTCTCTAGTTTTACCAAAGGTTGCAATTTGCTCAGCTCTCGTAGTCTATTTTCCTCCAGATGAAGTGCCAAGAGAGAACTTGGTTTGGCAAAAGCACTGTCATTAAATGCTCTGATGCGGTTATGGTCTACCACCAATTCCTGAAGGACTGCTAAGTTGTCTAGCCCTTCAACTTGACTGATTTCATTCCCTAAAAAAAAGACAAGTCATGATATATGAAGTGAGCCCAAATTTTAAAAGTTATCTACCTTCTTCTCTATATTTTTTGAGGGGGGGAAACAGGTATTGAACTCGGGGGCATGTGGCCACTGAGTCACATCCCCAGCCCTATTTTGTATTTTATTTAGAGATAGGGTCTCACTGAATTGTTTAGTGCCTCGCTTTTACTGAGGATGGCGTTGAACTCGAGATCCTCCTGCTCAGCCTCCCAAGCTGCTGGTTATAGTTGCGCACCGCCATGCCTGACTCATTTAAATGTTTTTATCAAATGACTTAAAAAGGTAATTTTCATTTTTATGTCTCAACAGGTTTACAAACTGATTTTTCTCTAACCCCAGATAGCAACTTCCTCAAAATGACATTAGATAGCTTTAGTATGTCCTTTTGCCATTATGAAATGCAATTGTGCAATTTTGCAATGAAATTATGAAAATATCTTGGATTCTTTTGATCTCCTTATATATCTAATTAGTCATTTTGACCTAATATTTCGTCTTTTTAAGTTGAATATTAAATGAGATATGTAGACAAACATCTTGCCCAGTGACTCCATAAGTGGCAGCTATCATTGTCAGAGTATGTTGTCTCACTCCTTATATAGAACTGCCCCACTTGGATTTGCCATGCTAACCATGGCAACTGCACAATTCCCCCTTTACATTATTAGATTAAAATAGACCTTCTATGGTTAGGTTTTCCACTTTTTGCTATGTCAATGTATCTTTTAAAAGGTCTGTCATTATTATGGTCAATTTCTTGATTTTTTTCCTTTTTTTTTCCTCTTTAAGGTTAAGTCTCCATATTCTTGATCCCAAATCAAAAATACCTTTGATAGGCAAAAAAAAAAAAAAAAAAAAATACATTAAGTTTTTAGAATATAGTCTGAAAAACCTGTCTTCCTGAAAAAAAGTAACTATCCAAATTTCTTTCCATGTCTCATAATGAATTTTGTGTGATGTTAAATAATTATTGTTAGATAATGTTCCAAACTCCATGGGTTTTTTAATGCCACTTTTCTAAAAAATTTACAATTCCTATCTATTGTTGACTATATTCTGTCTAAATTTCTCTGTCTGGCTTTCCTTAGTTTGGTCCTGCTCAGTATTTTTAACTTCAATTCTTCACTATTCCACAAAATTAAAAAAAATACTATAAAGTGATGAGACTTACTTAAAAAACTAAATAAAACAAATAACTCATATCAGGCTGGTCCCTTTTTAAGTGTTGGCCCACAGACATTGCAATTGTGTCCTGTGACTCTTTTCTTCCTCCCTTGCAAAGCTCTCAAAAATGATCATTTATAATCAAAATTGTAGAGGAGTTAATCTTTCAGTTTCTCTTTCTCTGAACTTCTATTGCACTTACTTAGTAACACATAGTTAAAACTTAATTCATCTTTGTCTGAGTACATCTCCTCAAGTAGATCTTAAATTACCTCAGATTGAGGATCTCTGTTATGTATAATTACAATAATACAGTACTTTCATAGTACTTATGAAACAATTTTGACTTAGGAAATATTTGTGTTAATGGTTACTTTATATTGTTTTTTAAATAGAATATTATATAAAAGTAAATTATGATGTAATACTGTATTGTAGCCCCAGAATATTCTATTTTCCTTCAAAAAATGGTTTTGAAAATCTGCAGATAACCAAAGAAAAATCCATGTGTGATTATTAAAATATTTTTGCTAATAAATATTTAAATAAATGTTGATACTGGAATTTACTTATCAAAACAAGATGAGATCAAGTTGATTTAAAACATTTTGATATTAAGTGTTTCTACTTACCCTGTAGAAAGAGGAATTTTAAATTTCTTAGTCTGTTAAGTTGTAGCTGGATTAAGTTACAAATTCCATTGTAGCCCAAATGAAGAACCTCTAAACTGTGCATTATTGGAGGTAAATTTTCACTGCTCATTGTATCTCTGAAACACATAAGTTTCAGAACATAAACCTAATTTCAAATCAGCTATCATAAAAAGATAGTCTGATATGTATTTAGTATAAATTCAAATTATAAGAGAAAAATGAATAGATTAATATATCAGAGTTGAGCTATAATATGTATTATCTTATATTTTATGTAATATTAATTTTTATTTTTAGTTTTATGTGGTAAAGAATAAAGATGTACAGAAAGTCACAATGAAAAGTGATAGCTAATGCAATCAGAAAAGGAAAAAAATGTAGCCAATTGCAAAGAAATAAGTAAAATTGTCTTTATTCTCAGATGACATGACTCTGTATTTAGAAAATACAAAGAAATACATCAAAAGACTATTTGAACTAATAAATGGGTTCAGCAAAATCACAAGATAAAATAATATATAAAAATCAATTGCATTTCCAATATTAGCAATAAATAATCTGCAAATGAAATAAAGAAAGCAATTCTATTCACAATAGTATAAAAATAATAAAATACTTCAGAATAGATTTAATGGAAGAAGTGTAAAATTTTTACACAGAAAACTATAAAACATTGCTGAGAGAAATTAAAGAAGATCTAAATAAATGAAGAAATATTTCATGTTTGTGCATTAGAAGATAATAATTATTTCAAATTGATTAATAGATTCAATACAATCTCTATTAAAAGCACAACAGCTCTCCATTCCCATGGAAAATAATCCTAAAATTTATAAGGAAATGCAAAAAACCCATAATATTCCAAACCCAACTTGAAAAAGAAAAAAGTTAGAAGGCTTAAATCCCTGATTTCAAAACTTATTGTAAAACAGCATTCCAAACCAATCTGGTACTGGCACAGAGATAGACACAAAGACCAATAGAATGGAATTGAGTCCAGAAATCCACTTTCACATTTATGATCAACTGACTTTCAGCAAAGGTGACTAGGCAATTCAAGAAGGGAAAGATGTGTTCTAAACAAATGGTGTTGGGACAATCGGATCTCTATATACAAAATGATGGATTTTAGTCCTCATACCTAATCTCACAATATGCACAAACAGTAACTCAAGATAGATCATAGGTCTAAATGAAAAACAAAAACATAAAGCTTTTTGAGGAAAATGTGAAAAAATCTGTGACTTAAGGTTAGGCAAAGAATTATTAGAAATCATCAAAATCACAATCTATAACAGAAAAAATTAATCATTTTATCAAAATTAAAGTTTCTTCAAAAGACATCACTTAATAAAAAGACAAACTACATATTGAGAAAAATATTTGTAAATAATTTATTTGAAAAAGGGCTTAGTATCCAGAATATTCCAAGAACTAAATAATAAAAAAGCCACATAATCAAAAAATTAGCAAAGGATTTGAACACACATTTCACCAAAGAAAATATATGTCAGGTTTAAATAAATATGTGAAAAATCTGCCCAACTATATTACTCATTAGGGCATTATGAATTAAAACCTCAATGAAATGCAATTGAAATCCAATAGAATGGATGTAATGAAAAAGACAGTCAATAACAAGTGTTAACAAGGATATGGAAAAATTAAAATACATAATATAATGTAAAATGGTACAACTATTTTGGAAAAGTGGCATTTTCTTAAGCAGTTAAACACTAAATTACTATATAACATAACACCTCTGTTTTTAATTATCTATCCAAAGTGTCTAACCAAGGGGAACATAATGAAAATATAAGTGCACATAAACATTTGTTCACAAATGCTTATTTTTCATAAGGCCAAAAGTGGAAACAATTCAAATGTCTATTAACTGGTGACTGGATAAACATAAGGTAGCATATACATACAACAGAACATCTGAACTCATAATACATGCCACAGAATGGATGAACCTCAAAATCATTATTCTGAGTGTAAGAAATGAGATGCACAAGACCACTTATTATATGGTTCCACTTTATTTTTTATTTAGTTGTAGATGGACACAATATCTTTATTTGTTTATTTTTATGTGGTGCTGGGGATCGAACCCAGGGTCTTACACATGCAAGGCAAGTGCTCTACCACTGAGCTACAGCCCCAGCCCTATATGGTTCCACTTATATGCAATGACTAGAAAACACAACTCCATAGAAAATAGATTAGAGATTGCTGAAGTGAGAAGTATGAAAGGGAATTGACTAAAAATGGACCCCAGAGACCTTTTCAGTGTAAAGGAAATATTCTAAAACTCTATTTCAGAAATGATTGCATAATTATAAATTTAGTAAAAATCATTGAATTATACATTTAAAATGAATTAACATGGCATATACATGCACTTCAATAAAAATGTTAGAATAATTAAATATGAATAGTTCCAATATAAAGGATGTGTATAAATGTTCATGGTAACTTTAATCATAATAGCCTCAAACTGGAAATATCCCAAAATGCCCATCAATGGTAAATAAACAATTTGTTGTATAATTTTGTGATTCAATTCATATAATGTAATACTACTCATCAATAAAATAAAATGGACTACTGACACTTGCAACAATTCAGATGAATCCCAGAAGCACTGTGTTAAGTGAAAGAAGTCAAGACACAAAAGAGTAATTACTATGTACTTCCAATCTTATGAAATTCTAAAAAAAGGCAAAATAATAGTAGTGGAAAATAGATCAGTGATTGTTGACATGGGTGAGGATGTGGGAGGAGGAGATTGCAGAGAGATAAAAGGGAATTTTCCTGGGGTGGGAACATTTTGTGTCTTGATTGAGATAGTGATTATATGACTGAATATATTAGTTAAAATTCATTAAATGTACACTTAATGAATATTTTATTACATTCAAATTGTACTTCAATAAAAGTGATAAGCACAAGGAATGTTCTTAATTGGGAATACTGTAAATGAAAGTATTCTGACTGATACATGTATTATATATTCTCTCTATATATACATATATATATAATTTTCCTATTCATATATATGAAAATATATATTAAATTATATACATAAAGTTGAAGTATCTATTTATGAAGTTCATACACACATATATATACAAGGTGTGTTTATGTATACATATAGGTGTGTGTATATATATATTTATATATATTTATATAAATATAAATAAGATGTGTCCTCATTTTCATGAAGTATCTTTTTATCTTTGCCATTGATATTGGGGCATTAAATGTACAGATAAATAATTTAGAAATAAAAAGAAAGCAAATATATTTAAGAGAAACCTAGGCCCATACTACTTGAATAAAGGATTCCTTTTTGGCATGATAAAAATGTTCTGGAATTAGATAGTGGAGATGGTAAACAAACAATCCTTGTACTGTACACAAAGGGTTAATTATATTTAGTATGTGAATTGTATCTCAATTAAAAAAAAAACTCAAAGTCACTGAATCTACAGTGACCTTGAGTTTTTTTTTTAAATTTTTTTTCTTTATTTACAATCTAAGTATGAAATGGAGGAAGCAGGGATAAAATGTCCAAAGGAATAGTTTCTCATTTGTTTATTGGTACCTGGGATTGAACCCAGGGTTGCTCTACCACTGAGCTATATCATCAACCCTTTTTATTTTTTATTTTGAGACAGGGTCTCACTAAGTTGCTGAGTGATCCTCCTGCCTTAGCCTTCCCTCCAGAGTTGCTGCAATTAGAGGTATGTGCCACCATGCCTGGCTGCAAAGAATAGTTTAAGTATTTTCTTTTTATTTGAGAAGTTCACTTTTGACATATAGCTTTTGAATAAAATAATTAATAAAATAAGTTAAATGTATGTACTGAAACATATTACTTTAAAATTCCCAATAAAAATTATTTGTAATTTAAAAAAGAATTGTACCTATTTATTTTTGAAGTTCCTTGTTGTCCATAACCACTTGAAGGTACTTTCTGGTAAAGTAGTTGTCTATTAGTTAAGTGAGTCTGAGGCTTTAGTCTAGGCATGATTGATTCAATATGATTATAATTGAGGCATAAGACCTATGGGAAGAATATCTTATTAATCAAATATCCTACAAACTATTAAAATTATAAGGAAAAACTTGTAATATGAACATAATTTAATAAAATATTAGTGTTAAAGATAAGTTTTTATAACCCAAATTATTTAGATTTAGTTTTAGATGTGTTTTTAATTATCCTACATGTTGGAAAATTATAACACCACACATAAAATAAGAAAGACTTGAGAAAGCTACACAGCTTTCTCAGTCTGCACTTCTGATTTCTTAAGGTGTGATGTCGATGGAATAACTCCTTAGGCTAGGCCTTATTTGGTGGCTGAGTTGAGGTAACAGGAAAGGAGACAATGAGGCTGCTTGAAGAACCTTAGCATTCTCAACTTCATGTCATACCTTCTCACTATGGAGGCAGCCTTTTATCCCCTCTCCTCCTGCAGAGTAAGATTTACTGCATGCAAGACAATCAATGAATGGAGGTCAAATCAAAATAACTTTGGGAGGTAATACTTTTTCTTGACTAGTAAAAAATAAATAAATAAAAACAAAACAAAAACCTTTGGAATAATTTCTCTGCTTTAGTAAATGGAAATATATTTTAATTAAAAATAAAGACGATTACAATTTGCATTGAAAACCTAAAACAAAAAAGAGAAAAGATTTGTAGGTGACTCACCTTCACATTCGGCAGATAGATTAGTCCACTGAAAGAGGTAAGATTATTGTTCTGTAGGTTCACATTACTCACATTTCTAAATTGGTCAACTGGAATCAAATCTACAGTTCTGAATTTAAACAAAGCAAATATAGTTATTATTTTAATAGGGAAGAGAAAAAAAACTTCCTATGTTTTTTGAGTTCCTCCATATATAAACTCCTAAGGGTATTTTTTAAAAGATATCTGACAAATACTATGAAAAATAATTGCCTTAATATAAAATGTAGGAATCAAAATAAACAGCTAAATACAGATTTTTGTTGGGCACATGTGTAAGAAAATGATAGAATTTGATTGTTTTAAGAATGCCTATTACCACATAAACATAACACTATTGCAAAAGAAACCTATAAAATAAAAATCTGTAATTCATTTATAAATTCATAAAACCATGGTGAAATTGATAAGGTAAATTTTAAGATTTTGAGGTTGTAAACTTCAGAGAATATATATGTAAATCAGGTTATTTCTGAAATGACAGGAAGTGGATAAGGACAGTAAAGAAAAGGAGAAAGTAGTTATGGCATTGGAAAACAGACACCTAATATATTTAGGTATGATGATGTTTTAGGGAAAGAAAACCTATAGGAAGAGAAAGAGCTTGAGGTGAGACTTTTAGGATTTGACCCGTAGGTGTTAAGCAAATTAGTAGGGCTGACAGTGCAATAGGCACAAAGGCAGAGAAACATGAAAATAGTATCTTATGATTAAGATTTAGAAGCTAGAATATTTCAGAGTTTCTAAAGTATAAAGTGTCATGAGAAGCAAAGGTAAGAATTACAAAAGATAAAAATTATTCTACACTACGCAGAATTTTTAATTCTGTTCTGTAGACAATGAAATCCACTGACAATGTTGAAAAAGGAAATGATATGATAAGACTTGCATCTTAGAAGGCAATATGGGTAACAAAATGGGTTTTCAGGGAAGGTTTATGTAAGTCAAACAAAAAGATCACCAAATGAGTTTCTAAAACAGTTTACTGCAAATGGCAGTGACTATGGAAAGACAAAGGAATTTTGAGACAAAATTCAAACATGAATCTATTGACAAAGATGGTGATGAATTAAAAATGGAAAACAAAATTTTTCTTTCTTTCTTTTTTTGGCTTGGGTAGATGCTGCCTTTTAGATACTATCTACAGAGCAATTGTATGCTCAGGTGAGAATAAGTTTGGGCTAAATATGGTAAATTTGGGAATCATCATCAAAAATTAAATCTTGTTTGCTCAGGAAGAGTACAGAATAAGAAAAAGATGAGAGCAAAGGAGAGGGGATTATAAAAGAGAAGTAAGATAGAATAGAAGGGGGACTAAGGATGAAATTCAGAGATCATCAGAAAGTTAAGAACTCATAAAGAAATCTGAGAATTTTATAGTAAAACCAAGAATGTGAAACTATGGTTTAGAAAGGGAGATAAGAATGCTGGGCATGATGGTGCATGCCTATAATCCCAGTGGCTTCTGTAGTTTTCATTATATAGATCTTTCACATCTTTCGTTGATTCAGATTAGAAGTCTGAGGCCAGCCTCAGCAATTTATTGAGACCATAAGCAACTTAGCAAGACCCTATGTGAAATTTTAAAAATAAATTTAAAAAGGGTGGGGATGTGACTCAGTAGTTAAGAACTCCTGGGTTCAACCCCCAGTTTAACTCCCACCCCCCCACCCCCCCAAAAAAAAGGGGATATACGAAGTGAAAGAGGAATCAGCATTCTTGGCCCCTCAGAGGGGTCAAGTTTGATAAGAACTGAAAATAGTTTATCATAGGAATGGTATATGGTTGGGAACTTGCTTAGCATTGATGATTCAATCCCTAGCACCACAAAAACAAAAAAATGTGCCAGTGGAAGTACTGCTGCATTGGAATAGAGGGATAAGATATGAGTTGCATAACCTGTTCCTAGCATTGGTCTGGTTGCCAATCTGACATCACTGTTTATTAGTTTGTGTAATTTGGGCAGGTCTCCTCCCTTGTTGGGTCGTCCCCCCCCTCGCCCCCCCGTGTCTTTCACCATGGGTTTCACTTAATCATGGTTTCCACATTGAGCTCTACACTCTGGCAACTGCAGGCTGTAGAGTTATTAGTGAAGACCTGGGAATCCATGTTATCAGACAAGTCTGGAGCCTGAAAAAAGAATTCTACTTTCATGTCTATTATATGTCTTTGGTGATGCTGTTGTGATTAATAAGTTGCAATTTAAAGTGTTGTAGAATTTAAAAAATTTTGATCTTCAAGATTTTCTTAACTAAAACATTTAAGTTTTTGCTAAAAAAATAAAAGAGAGAGACTAATATATTTGGTTGAAAAGCAAAAGCACAATATCCAAGAAAGAAATTGATATTTGAAAACATAGTCTTATATAATAAAAAATTATTAATTCATTTCAAAGAATGGTAAAGTTAGCATGAATTTTGGAGTAGGGTTGATGATTTATTGGTTATGGTTAGATAAGATGTATAAATGTATGAGCTTCAGAAAAATCATCATAATAATTATATATTTAATTACAATATCAAAAGGTATCTAATAAAGTGATTATACCTTATGGATGATGAAGTCCAATTTAATTCCTGCATTTGGGAAAAGTTTGAATGTCCTTGTCGTTCTGTAATCATATCAGAGGTAAGTCTTCCACCAAACAAATCTTTTGCACTCTCAGTCTCTGGTGGTTCCTATATAGGATACCAGTTTCAGGTAAAAATGGAGTGGGCTGTATTCTTTCCACTAAGTGCAGGTTAACCCCTGCTCATTATATATTTAAAAAACATGAAAATACTAAATGATGCAGAGAAGGTAGACTAGCTGGGGACCTTGGGACCTGAAGAATGATAATCTGGATTTTCTTTTTGCCTCATTTATGTCATTCAGGTGCTGGAGAAAATATAAATGCCAAAATGTCAACAATAGAAAAAAAAGAAAAACCCAGTCTGTCTTCTCTAGGATATTGAAAGCCTCAGAAGACAGAAAACTTTTAAATAATAATATGTCTACTCCAGGTGAACACCACAAAATATACTGTAGTCTTAACTTTATCCCCACCAGTAAAAGCAGAATGGGCTGCTCAGACTTGCCCAGTTGTAACAAAGCACTCCTCTGTCATTCCCCTGCGACTTGTCAGCTTGGACTTTTATCAGCTCCTAACAGTGATACACCCCCCCCTTCCCCCCCAAAAAAGTATTACTTCAGACAACATGGGGAGCCTGGATTCCCACTTCTACTTGGTAATAATGAGGTGTCTGTGGAGAATTAATGAGGTATTCCTACCTCTGTCAGCTAGGATGAATGAGTGGAGGCCTATGGGGAATAGTAACAAGGAGTCTCTCTCTTCCTCTCCTAGCCAGAGAGAATCAATGGAAGCCTGGTGGGAAATATAAACTCCTACTGCAGTCTAGCAGTTAATTAAGATATTCATGTCAGGTTGTTAACAGAAGCCAAGTGGGGGGAACTTGGATTTCTGTCTCTTAGTGAAAACAACAAAGTAGTAGCCCAACTTCTCACTGGTATAGTATTATCAAGTGAGGTTTGCTAAAATAGAAGATTTGAGAAGAAAATTTGGACATAATACCAGTACATCCAAAATAAAATAGAAAAAGCTCTCACCATGTGCCAAACTAATGGAATCTAAACTCAAGCATGAAAACACAATCAACAAACAACAACTTTGAAATAACACATATTTGTAATTATTTGACAGATTTCAAGCAGGCATCACAAAAATATTTCAACAAGCAATTATGAATGTATTTAAAACAAATGAAAAAAATGAATCTATCAGCAAAGAAGTAGAAAATATGAAGAAGGTTGAAATAGAAATTTTAGAACTGAAAAATACAATAGACATATAAATGCAATGGAAATAAATGCTCAATAAAAGAATGAAGAGGAAAGAATCAGTGAAATTGAAGATAATAAAAATAGAAAAACAGACAAAAACAAAAAAAATAAAACACTCTTCTTACCATGGGATTCATATAAGGAGGGAAGAAACAGTTGAGGTTGAGAAGATATTTGAAGAAATAATAGCAGGAAATCCTCCAAATCTAGCAAAAGACATAAACCTACAGATTTAAAAAGCTGAGTGAATCCAAGAAGAGAAAAAATTCCCCAAATTCATGCAATGACACATAGACACAATCAAAATCAATCAAATTTCTGAAAACTAATAAAGGAAAAATTATAAAAGCAGTCAGGGAAGAGTAAAATTTTACCTAGGAGGACGAAACAATTTGAATGACAAAATATTTGTCATCAGCAACCAATAAACAGAGGATGTGGCAAAATAAAATAATTGTCAACCCAGAATCCTATATATCAAGAGAAAATGTCATTCAGAAATGAAAAGGGGAATTAAGACATTTTTCAGATGAAAGAAAACTAAGCAAAGTATCATCATCAGAGATACCATAAAAGACGACTAATGGAAATTCTTAACCAACAAAAGGAATTTTGGAATACCAGGAAAGAAGCAAGTACAATAGACTTTCCAAATTATCTTTGTTTGGTTAAAGCATAAAGGGATATCTGATGTGGTTCTCAGTATATACAGAGAATATATTTAAGATAATTATTAACAGTGGAGGAGAAATAATGGAAATAAGATTTATACTCTTAATTAAAATGGGTAAAAATTTCAACAATAGAGCTCATTAAGTTATGTATATGTTATATAGTACTTGGAACAATCACTAAAATGTCTATATGAACAGACATAAAAAACCCATTACAGATAAATAAAAAATTTGACATATGTTCAATCAGCTCATAAAAAAACAGAAGAAAACAGAAAAAAAGATATAAAAAAACCAGAAAATAAAAACAAAATTGCAAACTTTATCACTAGCATGTCAATAACTACATTAAATGTAAATGGCCTATATTCATCAATCCAAGATATAAATTGGTAGTAATAAAGGAAAAAGACCCAACTATCTGCTGTAAACAGAAAATCACTTCAAATATAATGAAACACACAGGTTTAAAGCCTTCCAACAAAATAAAACCTGGGACTAGATGGATTCTCAGCCAAGTTCTCCTACACCTTTAAGAAAAACTAATGCAAATCTTCCTCAAATTATTTATGAGGTATAAAGGGAAGGAACACTCTCAAATTCATTTTGTGAAGCATGATCCTGATACCAAAACCAGACAAAGACACATAAAGGAAAGAAAATTATAGGATAATATCTCTGATGAACATAGATGAAATTTCATAACATATATATATGTGCTGAATATATTCTCTCCCTACTCATAAATCTAATGCATTTCTATTATTTCTCATTTAATGTCTAAGTTCTTCAGTCTAGTCTTCATGTAAAATTATTAATTTATAAATTTATATCATACCCCATTCTGTAAAGAACTTGTGGCAGTTTATAGGAAACACATATAATAAAATAGTAAAATGCAAATCACAAATAATGAAGACATAGACTAAGAAAAATATAAGTTAAAATAGATAAAAACCAGGGTTAGGGACAGAGAGACCATAAGATCCTACTGAGTTATAAAATTTGGGCCTGAGCTTTTTAGTTGTCAAAGTGAGGGAAAAAAATAGTTGAACACTACTCATTATGGGTGAGAGAATAAAACTTTTCCTTAGAGGCATAAAGGCTTTTTCTATAATTATCTCTAAAAGTATTTTCTCATGTGGTCCTTTGAATGAGGTCACAGAGAGATAGGAAGAAATGATTCTCAACATCTTTTACAGCAAATGCAGAATAGTTTCATAAGACTGTTTTACTAAGCAGTTCTCAATGAAAGCTAACAACTAAGTAAAACCCAGTACACGAGATTCTAGAGAATATGTATTTATTGAAGTGAAACTGTTTTAGATTCTCTCAGGAGGACCCTTTAAGAATAAGGAAAGGGATTAGTAATTTTTTTTCAGAGCACCTGAGTACCAAATAATCATGAACTACCTTCTCAATTTCCTAAAAATTGTGTAAGTTTTATTGACTAATGGGAGTTAGGCAACATTACCCAAGGAAACCTTTTATTCTTCACACATTTGTCATGTTTTTACCCTGTCCCATGGAAATCATGAGCCTCATATGAACTTGCTTTTTATAGAATCCAAGTTTCCAAATGTTGCTTTTATATTCAGCCATGAATTCTCTGTGTTTTTTTAAAATTTTTACCATTTACTAGTGATATAGTCATACTACACTTGTTGGTTTTCCTTAATTACTAACAATCATATTTTTCCAAGAAATACAAAGCTGGTTTTAGGTCAAAAAAGATAGCAAGGCTCCAGGGCATATTTTTTCCTATCCCGTTCCACAAAATTATGCTCTTTACTTTTTAGACATTGATCTCAGTGGGTACAAATGTAAGCATCATATTCCTCCCTTTCTATCTCAATTTAGACACTTAAAAATTGCCCAGATGAGGAAAATTTAAAATCCAGATCTAAAATGAGTTTTGGAGACTGAGATCTTAATAAACATAGTAAGTTTTGGTATGCTAGTGATAAGTCAGTGTTCTAAATAAATGATTATGGCCTATGAGTATACGAATTTGCTGCTTGAACCAAATGCTATGAGTCATCAAACAACTTACAATTGAGATTCCATCCAAAGCTTTTAATTCTGGAAGATGAAATATTACAAATAATCGGTAGTTTTCTTGATTCCATACAATAATGTTTCCGTACACGTCTAGAATGACCAAGTTGCATAAACCCTAGGTAACAGAAGATATACATCATAACCCAGAAAGTTTTTTTCCACTATGAGATTAAACACCCTTGAATCATTTATAATTTTATAGAATTTGAGTGTTTTTAGGTATAACTTTAAATGCAAGGGTTACCTTTCCAGACCACTAAGGTATATTTTTATGCCACATTTCAGTTTGATATATGTTATCTGATCAGAAATCTTTTAAGGACACTAGACTTTCAGTGTTTTCTTTCAATGGTAAAGGCTTAGAGGGGAACTTTGATATCTTTTAAGACAATATATTTTGTTTATGGAATAATGGCCTATCAAATGGTATGTATGTGTATATACGGATATAAAAGGAATGAAAAGACACTGCCATTTGAAAAGAGATAAAAATGAGAGGGCGACAGAACACATCTTAAGGGAAAATGTGCTTTCTTACTCTATGATACATTTAGTTGTGCTATGAAGGAAAGACCCTGAGTAGGAGAGGATAGAAGTTAAAACAATAGGAAGTAAAATTTTTCTGCATCAAAATGTAAAATGGCTTATTTGGTGGCTGATGTTAATTAGGTTGGTTGGGTGACTTTAGAAGTTATTTTGTGGGAATAGGATGGGAAGAACACTGATGTAAGGAAAAACAGGAAATGGACACAAAATTTTAGTATAAGGTAAAGTCCTATAACATGGTATCAGCAAAAGGATAGGCCAGTGTAAGACTCTCAGTGGTAGAAAGTGGCCACTGAACTTAACATGAAGTTGTTACATTACATTTGCAGTGAATTCCTATTCTGTGCTATAAAAATCCTCCATTTCTTCCAAACCTTTAGTAAAGCCTGTTACACAGTAGCCTCGAATTAGTGATTCTTTTAGGGGAATTAAAGGGTACAAATCTGAATAAAAGTGAAAAGAAAGAATTGGAACTATTGGTAAAAACAGAGAGATAATCAAGATTTGTACTGACAAAGGAGAATGTTAAGAAATCCTACTTCCCTACCAGGTCAGTCAATTCTTGGAAATACTGAAGGCAGCATATATGAAGAGGAATGGGCATGGGTTCTATTATTAAAGTATTAAAATAAAAAGTTATCAAATTGGGGTCATTATGGTTACACATACATATATGATTGTTCAGTACACAAATTAAATGCAAATGTATTTTAATAAACCTTATTATTCTTATTTTAATTTAGTTCTATAGATTTTTCTACATTTTTCAAATTCTTTACAGCTAACATGCATTGCTTCCAATGTATGAATAAATGTTTTAAAGAAACAAAAGTTAATAAATACTCCAGTTACCTTTAAATTGTAGATCTCCTGATTGAGAGCAATATAGTTATTGCTTATGTACAATTCAATTAGACTAACAGTTTTTTGTAAACCACTCAATGAAGTGATTCTGTTGTTCTCAAGAGAAAGAGAGTGAAGATGAAGCAAGTTATCAAAAACATGTTTTTCCAAACCAGTTAGAAGATTATTATTTATGCTGAGGCGAGTTAATTTAGTTAGCTTGGAAATGCCTAGAAAAATAAATAAATTCAAGAAAACTTCAGACAGCACTGAAAAGAGAATTTTAAAAATAACTGACCATTTACTGTTTCTCTTTATTTAAGTTCAAATGGCTTTAAAGATTCTGTAACCATCACTGCTTTTTAGAGGGAAACAAAAATAAATAAAATCCCTTTTCAAATATCTAATTCTAATTTTAGATTCATTTTTTTTAGATGTTAAGGAAAAGCACCACATAGCAAATACTTAATTTATCCACCAAATAACCTTAAAATGATATAATTAATCAGGACTTTCATCTTCAAGACAACACAAAGCTATACAGAAAACTCAATAATCACCTATCCCTCATTTTAAAACATTAAGGTAAGAAATTGGAAAGGATTACTAATTATAGAATCATCTGTACTTAAGAGAATCATTTGGCCTAATTTCCCCATGGTATATTCAGAAACGCTCTAAGACAGTTTAGAAAATGGCCCCTCTAACTAGAATCTTACCCCTGTGTAACCTTTGCAGCTATAGGTACTCTGTAATTGTGGGGGGCAAGATAGTTCAGTTTAAAGATGGTGTCATAGTTGGTTTTAAATGTATCACTATTAGGTTTGGGACCATAGGTAAATTTTGAAACTTCTGAGCCTCAGTTTCTTCATCCATAAAAGGGTCATACTAAAATCTACTTCCAAAGGGTTGTGGAATTAAGTGACAATGATCTTTGGAGAGGAAGAATAAGAGGAGTTGTTAGCAAGCTATAGAAGTTTTCTTTCAATTTCTTTCCAGATTCAAAGCATTAAAGGAGAATACAAGTAAAGTTGTGAAGGAATCAGAAAATATAACTTGGAATATTCTAGAAGAAGCCCTCCAAACTCTAGATTTTTAGCTACAGATAAGCACAAACCCAAATGAAGTAAAGAAACCCAAATGAAGTAAAGAATCTTGAAAATCTGAAGACAGGAATAGTCTTTCTTATTCTGTTCATTTCAGAAAAATGTTTTAATACTGAATTTTAAAAATTTAAATAAAACATATTACATTGGTTTCTTATTTTGAGACATTACTAAAGTTGCTTAATTGTACTTGTATGTAGATCCATTAAAAGGTTATAAATAGTACATTTGATTTTCATTCTATACTAAGTGTAATTATATTTGTTGAAGTCTTAAAATTTCCAAATACAAACTTAATTCCATATTTTGCAAAATAAACTAGCTTGTTTTTTTCAAGATATACATTGAAAGGAAAGTGACCACAACACTCGGAGCAACCAAGAGAGCTTTATTGCAGCAGTGCAACAGAGGAGAAAAGAGAGAAAGAGAAAGACAGAGAGAAGAAAGAGAGCAAGAGCAAGAGCAAGAGAGACAGAGCAAGAGAGAGAGACAGAGCAAGAGAACAAGAGAGAGAGGGGCCCAGCAGGAGGGAGTTTTTATAGCCCAAATCTAATGGGGCCTCTGGGTCTGCAAGCTGCCTTGTTGGCAAGGGGGGGGGGGTGGTTGAGTGTTCAGCCTTGAGTGGGGGTTGAGGGTTCAGCTTTGACGCAAATAGGTGATAAAGGACCAGACAGAGGGGGGTTTGAGTGCGTGGGCCATCTTGCAGCTAACATTTGTTCGGCCTGCCCTGCAGATAACATAGTTCAGCCTGTCCTGCACCTAACATACATCATTTATCCTTTTATTCAATTTAAAGATATTAATAACTCCCTAGTTTGTATGTGCTAGGGAGTAGTAATAATTGGTAAATACTGGCACAGAGTAGAAGAAGAGGTCAAAGTCCACCTGGGTTCATTATGCATAGTATACCGCTTGCAACAATCTCACTTAATAGGTATTTAGAATATCTGCTGCAAACCTTCTTGGAACTTCTCTAGTGATCATCTTCTTCAGAGATTCTGTCCTCAGTGTCACCATTTTTTTTTTTTTTTTTGCTCCTACTGTTTAGACATTCACATTTTGAGACTTCAAAGTTCTTGAGTGTCTTACCTTCTATCTTTGAGATGCAGTTTCCATCTAATGTGAGCTCTTCCAAGTTGATACAGGATTCCAAGCCTTCCATTTTAGTGAGATTATTATTGCTGAATGATGCCCATTTCAAATTTTCCAATTTTTCTAAATTTGTGATTTCAAAGAGATGTTGTCCATCTAAATTTAAGGCAGTTATCTATACAATAATTCACATTATATGTTACTTCTGAATCTTGTAAATAAATTTAATCAATGTTACAAGTTAAAAAAAATTGAACAATAGAATTCAAAATTCCTTCAGAAACTAAAAATACTGTGACATTCTTAATTTTGAAAAAAATAAAATTTGAAGACTGTGAGTCCAATAGGGACTTTTATGATATTAGGGGCACTGACGTGCCAGTCAGATTCCTCCTACAGTAAAGGACTTGTCCTAGTTGTGGGCAGTGCTATTGGCAGAAAGCCTAAAGCTGTTATCACCTCTAGGGACTACAGACAGCTGCCTTGACCAAGGTCACTCTCCTTCCCATGTTGGCCCATATCCAATAATGAAGAGAAATAAAGACCTGGGCATCTCAGTCTGACATGGGAAAAATTTAAAGGACATTTCTAATTCCAGGACTCCCCATGGAATTGACCAAAGCTGTCATTGGACCTGTACTGAAGCTCAGAATCAGTATATATTCCATAATAAAAACGATGCCACCATTATCTTTCATTTTCAAGGACTCCCTTAGCCAAGTATATATTTCTGGCAAGTTTCAATCGTTTCTTAGCCCAATTTTATCTGTCTTGTAGGCTCCATTAAGGACTCTGGTGAGTTCTAGTGACCTAATGTAACAAGATATTGTTAGTGCTCTATGGCCTTTCCCTTACCTGGGCTGAATTCTGACTAGTTCTTCTATCCCCTTGCCAAGATTCATGATCCTTATCACGAAAATTTTGGCTTGATCCCTGTCTCTAATCCTTTAAAGTCTGCTGGCTGTTTGTGACATATTATCAGAATCTATCCTTTACTTTGCAACATACCTTTGTCCTAAATCTCTAATTCTACAGTAACAATAGTCAAAATCTATCACAACAGTGACATCTATCTACAACTTGACCTTTTTTATGTTTTGGAATGTGGTAAATTTATTACCTTTTTTTTCTAATAATAACATTGCCTTTTTATTTTTCCAACTTTATGAAGTATAAATATAAATATAAAGTTGTATATGTTTAATGTGTACAACTTCATTTGATATATATACACTGTGATTAAACACTGCATGATCTCAATTATATGTGAAATCTAAAATAGTCAAACTCATGAATGCAGAGAATAGAATGGTAGTTACCAGGGATTTGGGGCAAAGGGTTTCAGTCATGCAAGATTAAATCTAATGTACAATATTGTGACTAAAGTTAAAGATATTGTATAATATACTTGAAATTTGCTAAGAAGGTGCATCTTAAGTATTCCTTCCCTATTTTAATTCATCTCTTTCAATTTTTCCCCTTACCTATCTGTGCCCTCTTTATGATAGACCAAGACTGACTGACAACATCAATTTAAATTAAGCTTTTATATTAAGTTTCATAGAATTAGCCTATACCTTCAAGTGCCAGTTTCCATTCAGATGTAAATGTGGTCCAAATTTTGAAATCTGTGTCAGAATTTTGGCAGAAGGCCAGATACTAAGTATCCGTGGTCTCTCCTCTTTGGTACTAGAATGCCGTAAGATAGATAGCTAATAAAATTAAAAAAAAAACATGATGAATAAAAGAAATAGCATACAGAGTTTCATTTATATATATTTAAAAAGTATTATTTCCTAGGAAAAGTAAATGGCACAATACATAATTTTTAAACAGGACAATTTGTTTGCCTTAACATATTTTCAATATCTAGATGTATTTTTAAGTATTCATTTTTTCATTTTAGCAAATATTGAACTATTAGAAGATAATATTTATAAAACCTTGAAGAGAATTACTATAACACAAACACCAATATAATCCAACCTTTAAAGCAGCTTGAGAGAATATTACTAATACCTTATAAGGTCCCTGTCATGAATATATTTGAACTTTATGAAAAAATAAATAATGTACTTTTTCTATGACTTGCTTTGTTTGCTTAACATCCTATTTGTGAAATTTTATCTGTGCTTCTCTATGTAGATGTAGTTCATTCATATGTCCCTGCTGTACAGTATTCCTGTATTCCCATAATGAGTCTCCTGCCAATGAACACTCAGGTTGATTCCGCGTCCTTGCCTTTTTGAACACTGTTATCATAAACATACTTGTAAATGTTTCTTGAAACATACATGTAAGAGCTCTTTAGAGTATATGTCAGTAAGTAAAACTGCTGGACTTTAGGGGGTGGTGTGAGTGTGTGTGTGTGTAATAGCACCAAATTGTACCAATTATAACTGTTACTTTATATTCTTCCTGAAAGTTGTTATTGTCAGCTTTAATAAATAGTAGGTCATTGTAGTTTTAATGTTCATTTTCTTGAACACTAATGTGGTGAAGCATCTTTTCCTAATTGGCTGTTCTGATTTCCTCTTTAGTGAAATGTCTGTTCAAATTTTTTCCTCATTTTTCTGTTCAGTTGGTTGTCTTTTCCCTTACACATTCTAGATATATAAAGAATATCTTTTGACATGCATGTTGCAAATTTCTTTCCCTAGTATGTAGGTTGTCTTTTTTACTTTCTTTATGGTATCTTATGCAAAAGACATATTCATGTTGATATAGGCAAAACCAATCTTTTATGGTTTATGCTCTTTGTTTCTTTCCTAAAAAATTCTTCCTTAGTTCAAGGTCATAATAAATCTGATCTTTTCTTCTAAAACATGGTTGGTTTTGCTTTTTGCACTGAAGTCTTTAATGTACTTGTGTCAATGCCTTTTACCAAATAGCCTCTTATATGCAAAAGATAGCTGTTATTTATCAAGTTTCCATAGCTGTATGGATCTCGGTTAGATCTTTATTCTGTTCTGTTGGTCTGTTTGTCTAACTGCACCAATATAACATTGTCTTAAAATTTTTAATAAACTTTGATTTCTGGTAGAGCTAATTTTCAAGTCTTTAGGAGTGTTGATAGAGTGTTTTTTTAATCACCAAAATATTTCCTCCCTTCATCTTGAAGAGATCCAAAGTTAAACTTTACATTATTTAAGGAATTAATATTCATGTACCCCACAGAAATTAAACAGCTATATATAGTGGTGATATTTAGGAGGTTGAAGCTATTTTGGCTAAAGTATAGCATTTTTTTAACCATAAAAGAATCACTGTTTTTATTTTTGATAAATCTGTTTCTAGTATGTCTTTTTTTTAAGTATAGCATTTTTTAATCTGGATAATATAGCTATATTTTTCTCTCTCCTCATCTCTGGGCTCATCTGTCAAAACTAAGCAGATAATTCACTAAACGCTTTCTCAAGGCCTCTAAGCTTACCTCATTCTCATAAAGTTCCTTATATAGGCTTTAGAACAGACTCTGCTAAGTTGAGGTAACTAAGGGAAAAAAATGTAACCCTAAAGGTATTTGTGGGATTGTATACAGGGCTATATCAAAAGAGTCCATATAACCAGATGGTATTCAAATGAGGTTCATATGAACAGAAAGCAACCAAGTGGTATAATTGCTACATATTATTTTTTATTAATATGGTAAGAGGGAATATAAAATCTTAACAACTAAAAGTGAGTACAGGAAATATATATATGTTCCAATAGTACAAGAAATATTAAACAGTAAAATCTAACCTGAGTAATCTTTGTTCCAGTAATAAATTTCATAGCTGCTGTTGTTTCTTCTTCAGAAATGAGATGTCCATCTAAATGTGTAAGAGTCTTTAATCTGCCAATGACACTCAGCCTCAATGTGGCTGGCTTGGGAAAAATTACAAAAAGTTAATTTTCACAAAATATTACATATATTATAGTATAGAAAGGAACATTTTTTCATTTCTTTCCTTATAATTAAAAATTATCCATTTCCTTGTTCCTTACATGTATCTAAAAACAAAGGCTTCATTTAATTCTTTAAATAATAATTGAAATTAAATTATATTGAAGAGTTAATCTGTTTCATTTTCACATGGATGATTCCATTCTTATGAAGGGGAGAAGTCCTATGAACTGTTGAAAATTGGCTGTGGTGAAAAGAGTTAAAAGAACAACTGCAATGACTCCTGTTTTTCTAGATGAGCAATAAGCTAGTAAGCTCCATGTGTGATTCAATATGGACAGTTAGCCCCGGACATCCAATTTGGCAGCAGGGAGAGAGTTGTATTGTGATCATCCAGAAGGTCTGCTTTGGCAAAAGAAAAAGATTAAATTTTGCAAGTTTAAAAGAAGAAATATAATAATATAAATTCAGAAATATGGCCAACTTAATAAACTGATCACTCTTTAGTCCCCCATAAAAAGTTGAACATAACACATTTCAGAGGTGGAGAAAGAAAGATTCTTGAAATTATAAACTTGGACATTATTTAAAATATTTGGAGATACCCTTAAATCTAATCATTGAATATTGAAATCACATATTTCATGATGATAAAAATACTGTTCAATCATATTTCATCTCACAATAGAACTTAAGACTTCATAATGCAATTTTATAAGGGGAGGTGATTTCTGGACTTAAAATAGAGAACAATGCAAAATTCTAAGTATAATTGTAAAACATGTTTCTCAAACACAGATTAGAATATATTACACATCAAACTATGTTTCTTCCTTAATAGTATACTTCCCTCACTGTATCATATTATTTTTGGTTCCCGTGCCTCATTACAGTAGGGTTCTGGCACACAGCTTTATAAATTCTCTGGAGGCATGCAGAAGCCAGTGACATCAATCATTCTTAAAGCAATAATGCTTTCAAACTGTTAGAGGTTACAAAAAAAAAAAACTTAACATGAAAGTATAGCCTTTTCTTATGGTAACATCTGATACATTTGATTACTACACTAAATTCAATTTATAAGGATTTTAAGTCCAGAAAAACAAAGATAGTTGTCCCATTTCTGGATACTATTAAGTGTTTGCTTTTTCAAAAACATGTCTGTTGCATACCTTTTGCCATGGATTATGTTGAATATTAAGAGTGAGAAGGCTTGTGGTGTGTTTACATAACACATTTATTTCATCCCCAGATTTCTTTAGTTGATTCCAGCTCAAGTCCAAGTGCTTTAGTTTCATCAGACCTCTAAATCCCTCAAGAGTTATCACATGGTTGTGGCTTGCATCCAAATATTCAAGGTTATACTGTAGCACAGACAAACAAAAGTGATGGTCAGAATCATGGCTTGTGTTTACACAGCTCTTTTCTCTGGTTCTGCATGCTTTCTTATAATCCTCATAGAAAACAGACACAGTAGATAAGCTACAATAATGGAATCAATATGTTTATTCTCCTAAAGAGCTATGGGTATTTCATTTGATGGTAATTCTCTCTTAATTCACACTTAACTCTTATAACATAGATCAGACATATTTGCTTTCATGGGAGAGAAAGCAAAATGAAATAGAAAAGATGATTTGTCCTCAGCAAATAAAATATACTTCTAATTAGGCAGCTTCTGGTTTATACTGTTGAACACAACCTGGTTTTAAAAGGTTCACCCTCAGGGGTAGAAATTAAACCTATGAATTTGACTCTATAATTTTCTTTTTTTCAACTTTAAATAAGAATTATTAATAGGAATAGTCAATATTTATTTATTTATTTATATGGGTATCAGGGATTGAACTCAGGGGCACTCGACCACTGAGCCACATCCCCAGCCCTATTTTGTATTTTATTTAGAGAAAGGGTCTCACTGGGTTGCTTAGTGCCTCACTTTTGCTGAGGCTAGCTTTGAACTCTTTGATCCTCCTGCGAAGCTTCCCAAGCCACTGGATTACAGGTGTGTGCTATTGCACATGGCTGATAAGAATTTCTAAATTATAAAAATTACACACATTCATGCCCATGACACAGACATTATTGTATTTTCTATGATATACCAGAAGGCAAACGCAAATCAGATAAGATCTGTGCATATGACATTCAGGTAGAAAAGATAGAGGAAGAGAAATAGCAACCTGAATAATGAAGATTTAAAGGAATGACAGCATTAGATGTGCAGTAGTAAACTGGAAAGTGAAAAAGACAGGACTCAAAAGAAGGAGAAGAGTGAGAAAATAAGAGCAGAAGGAAATGGAATGATACACAAGAACATTCAGAATTTATTTTGATATATTGATACATTTAATTAAAGTAGCTAGATATCAGATAAGACCATAGGTATATTTTTGGTGTGCAAATAAAATCTAAATTTAAGATCTATTTTAGAGAAAGCACCAGAATGTAGTGAATGTGTGCTTTATCCCTAATTTAGGCCATATAATCTTGCATATGGTATGTATGAAGTCATAGTTATAAAGATAATTTACCCTTTAATTGTTTAATTTTACTTAAATGTTTTCAAAAGGAAAAAAAAACTTTCCTTTCAAAGGAGTGGTTATTTAAAAAATTATTTCAATTTATCATTTATCTTTTTATTTTTTGCTGTACCAATGGTTTTTAAAAAATATTATATTGACAGATTAAGTGTGACTCTATTCAAGGTGTATAGTGTAATGATTGGGTATATTATACACTGTATGATGGTTACTGTAATACAATTAATTAACATAATCATTACCACCCATGCTTGTTCATCTTTTAAATGAACGTTTCTACCTTAGACCAATATCTTATCATATCCCCACTCCCCACAGGTCCTGGTAGCCACCATTGAACCCTGTGCTTCTATGAGTTTGACTTTTTTAGATACCAAAAGGAAAGTTCTTACCAAGTGGTATACATCATCTAAACAAGTAAATTCATTAAAACTAATATTCAGTTTTCGAAGTCCTGTTAATTTGGAGAGATCTCTCAATTTACTCAAGCTGTTTCCATGTAGATTCAGACTCTGAAATACAATAAAAATTAAAAAATAAAAGAGATTACATTCTATATCATACTGTGAATATCTAAACTGTTTAGACAATTACTTGAACCAATATAACACAAAATAAGAAACTGCTTATTTTAAATTACATTAGGAGAATGTCAATAAGAAAAACTAATCTATGATGTTAAAATGTTAAAAAGCATCTTTGGACCTGATTATTGATTGATATGATTTACCACTGGGTCTAAATTTATCAATAATTGATATGACATTCTTTTTAGGAAATAGTTAAATATATGTGTTAAGATATTTATTAGGGATGATTTATTTCTCAGGCTGGAAAGTGAACAATGGGGTTCTCAAGATTTCAGGTATCAGATAGTAAATCTCACAGCAGAAATATGGCAAGGTATACCCTTCATGGAAGGAAACTATAAGGAACAAACTATATGGACTAATGAAGAATGGGTAAAGGTACCAAAACAGCAGGACAAAACATAAAAGAACATGGTGGGAGAACAATCTAAAGCAATGCCTATGTCGAATTTTGTCCCAGACTTTCCCTGTATGTTTCATCCTAAACTTTATAAAAGTGAATGCTTTTACAATTTTAAATTTAGGGGAGATCTTGACGCCTACATGTTTTTCTGTCTATTGTGAATGATATCAAGTTAAGTCTATATTTATGTATAGCCTACAAAATAAATAATGATGCATTTAAATATATTAGTTCAGTTGATTATAGTGTCCACAAATGAGCATTATTATAATCAAATTAAGCGTCTACACCCAGTCATCTTCACTCATCACCATCATATTAAATCACTACATTCCTCAAAGAGAAAAACAATTAAATTTCTAATAGTACTCCAAACTAGCAAAAATTGTGAAGAAGGGCCAATTTATGCAGACTAATTATTTTATGAATATAGGCATCACCATGCTACAATCTACAGATAACTTACACTTAGCATGACTAAAACTGAATTCATCATCTTCCTTGTATCTCTACTGGGTAGCCTATGTTTTCAGTCCTGATTAAGAGTTTTACTGTCTATTGATAACCCCCTTTTTCCCTTTTGGCCATGTACATTTGATTGTAGAAACATTTCTCAAACCTCCATTCCTACCAGTGTCCTAGTATAGACTATTATTTCTTTTTTGAACTACTGCAATGGGTTTCCACTGCATCTCCAAACCACCAGTCTGATTTCAGTTAGACTCCACCAGCTGCCAAGTGAGTGTTCCTTACAAAGAAGAAACTAAGCTTTTAAATTTGGCTTCCAATATCCACCCTAATGTGACTACAACCTCCTACTCTTCCAGCCTCAGCTTCATGTGTTTTCCTTGAATTCCGTCCTTTATCTTGATCTACCACCATCACAATATATATCCTAATCTTCCTGAATTTCTCAGTGTTCCCTGAAACAAAGTATCTTTCAAAACCAAGTGCTTATAAAAATAATATTTTCTCTTTCTGGAAGATGTAAACAACTGCATTTCTCTTATCTTAAAAAAAAATCCTTTCAAGGGCTGGGGATATAACTCAGTTGATAGAATTTTTGCCTTGTATGCACAAGGCCGTGTTCAATCCCCAGCACCACACGCATGCACGCATGCACACACACACATACACACACACACAAAATATCCTCTCAGAACTCCCACCAACTCCACCACCTATCTATCTTTTCTACTAAACTGATGTTATTGAGGCAAGGAAAATAATTTATTCATTTTGAACCCCTAAAACTTACCTCACTGCCTGAAACATAGCAAATCCTCAGTAAATTATAGGTAAATAAATCAATGCAAAAGCCAAACTTATAATTGAGAACTCTGAGTTTTAGGGGTTTTTATTTGGTTTGGCTTGATTTTGATATTTCTTAAGGAGACAAGGTATTTCTACATGACACTATCTTACTATGTGTAAGTGGTGGTACAAAGGAAGAAGTGCAAGGGCTATTGATGTCTAAATATTTTTGTAATATCTAATCTTCTTACTAGAAGACAGAAATTTGCTGACTTTTAAGCAGCATAGGCAAATTTAAGAAGAAAATCTTATCTATTCATATATCATGGGAATTGATCAAATAAATCCAGAATCAGGTAGGTCACAAGAAGGCCAATGTATTATAAAGTCTTATACTCTCCATTTTTTATTTTGGCTTGGAACAGCAACTTTCTATTGCTATGTTTAAATTTTTATTTAATTGCTTTAAACTCAGAAATACATATTGTGGAAACTCAATCAAATCAGAGCACACTATTTTTAAAAATCATTTCATTACTAAAACTTTATTATAAAATCTATCACTTATATATTAAATCTTGACATAATAGTAGAAAAAATAATAGTTTCTGAGTACTTCCAGTCTGAAGATTGTTCTTATAATCACTATTCTGTACATTTATGATAAAGAAGGTGATATTGCCATCATGTTATGAAGTTTTCTCTCCTTTTATAATGATAAATGGCTTAAGTAAAGACTTATTCACCACTTTATACCCTAGACTTAAAGATGCAGTAGGATGGTGATGAGGTAATTTCATCAATGAAATCCCATAAACTTCTTAAAACAGATTCTTTCCTGAATATTTCAGAAGCAGACTTAAAACTATTGACTTTGTTTATTTTTGGAAAGTACTTTACATTCTCTTTCTGCTTTATACAGTCACTTGAGAAAAATTTGTCCTCTTATACAATGGATCTGTAAATGTGAGAATGGAACAATATGGTTGATTTGCAAGATTAAAAATATAATTTCTGTGTTTTAATCTGTATCTCAGCTTTCACTGCACATATAGAAATATAGTGTCATTTAGAAATAACTTTTCTCCTCAAGACACATCAATTTTTTTTTATTACTTCTGCAGGGTGAAGCAAATGATCAACTTTCTCTGTAAGAACCAATGCCATTTGTAAATATATTATTTTTAATTTTAATCAAGTAGCTACAGGGTATCTAGTGTGTGCCAGGTATTGTGTTAGGTATTAGTGGAGTTGATGCTAATCCACATAAGGTTTATACACACAAATTAGGAAAAGACATCCATCTTTTCCTCAAGATGCTTTTATGTCTAGCTTTCTTTAAAAAAATGCAACTATATGCCAGGTGTGGTGGTGCATGACTATAATCCCAGCAGCTCAGGAGGCTGAGGCAGGAGGATCATGACTTCAAAGCTAGCTTCAGCAATGGCAAGGGGCTAAGCAACTAAGTGAGACCATGTCTCTAAATAAAATACAAAATAGGAATGGGAATGTGGCTCAGTGGTCAAGTGCCCCTGAGTTCAATCCCTAATATCAAAAAAGAAAAAAAATGCCACTATATGCTTTCGTTAGAACAATAAATTTTGCCAAAAGTTATTAGAAAAGAGTTGTATTAAATATAGCACTATATGATTTAAAAAGTGCTCCTCAGATGTGGACTTTATCTGCAATATACCCTGTACAACCTTATGTTGTTCTCTTGATGCTGAGGACATGTGACTAGAAACAGTCTTTGCTTCTACAGAATTTATAGCATAGGAAAGACACAGAGCATAAAACAAAGAAATCTGTCCTAGGTTCAGAGGTAATAGAAGGCTTTAAACACTTAGTAAACATCTAAAAGATATATTTGAGTTAACTAGGAAAAGGGAGTAAGGGGAGATCAATATAGAAAGGACCAGTAAGGGCAGAAGCCTTGTGTTAGCTGAAAGCATGTATTCAAGAAATAAGCAAGAGGCTGAGCCTGGAGAAGTAGAGGGAAGATAAGGTGAAAGAAGACTGGAAAAGTTGGCCTTGGGTGAGGCCATGAAAAATCTTATCAGCTTTATTAAGGATGCTGGTTTTAGTTTAGAGCAATGGAAAGCCATGTAGATTTTAAGTAGGAGTGCTGAGAGGGGACTGAGGTGACATAATCAGATTTGTATTGTAAAAGGATTACTCCAGCTTCAACATGGAGAAAGAAGTCGGGGCAGGATAGGATATCTGTTGCATAACTTTAGAAGGCAACCCCTCTGCATTGAGGATTATCCAATTATATAGTGAATTCTTTCCAAAGGGCACTTAGAGGAATATAATGTGATTGGTGTCTCCTGGAGTTGTGCAATATTGCCATGGCAAAATGCAGAATGTGTGGTTAGAAGGTTATAGTAGTAATCTAGTAGATTATGATAGTTTGAACAGAGTGGTAGCAGCAGATCAGAAATTGACAGACCTGAAAGTCAGATATGGAAGTAGGCTTTTACTCATTAGAATTACCCCACTATGAAGTAAAAGTTGTTAACAAGTAACTCAAATTCTGTTAATAATTTTTTAAAGATAGAGGTCCCATTTTCTATTTGATTAATCCTAGAAACGGATTTGAAACTTATTTGCCTTCATCCTAATCATTTAAAGAGAGCTTTTAATTATTCAGAATAAAATAATTTGTTATTTGGAAAGCCACCTCAAGTGGTAATTGAGCATTAAATGTGGCTAGACTAAATTGAGATGTGGTGAGTGTAAAATATACTCCATAATTCAGATTTAGAAACTCTCATTAATGAATTTTCATGTTGATTACATGTGAAATGATAATATTTTAGATGTTTGGGTTAAATAAAATATATTATTGAAATTGATTACTTTAAAAAGTCTTTCTTAACATAGCTACTAGAAATCTTAAAATTATGTATATAGTTGTCACAATTCTATTCAAGAGTACTAATCTACTTTACTTAGAAGTAGAAGTCTAGACACTTTTAAATTAGACAGTATGATGCCTAGCTAGCACCATCAGGTAGGTAGTTTAGTATTGTTAGAATTCATATGCTAGATTCTGATTCTAAATTCAAGATTCCTGTCTCTAAGTTTTGTTACTCTTAATACTTACCACAATATGACTGTAAATGTTAGTCTTGGCAAGGGAAAGTATTGTTTTATCATCCAAACTAATAAGTTTTGCTTGGGGCTTAATCTTGGGTTCCATTTTCATAACATCATCATCAACTTTCAAATCTTGGGACAATATTGATCCTTCTGAAATTTTTTTGCTTTCTTCTGGAATAACATTGTTGAATGAAGAAAATAAAGAGTGAGCCTTGACCTAAAAAATTATTAAAAATGTTGAAAAATTGGTTGCTGTATTTATCATTTTGAAAAACAATCTATGTAGAAAAGATGAATTGGCTTTCTTTCCATTATCAGCAATATCTACAATGATCAGAATCACAATAGAAAATCTGTAAGAGTAGCTTAAAACTATAGGCCAAGTATGGGTGTGTCCATTCTCATTCACTAAAAATTTCTTAAAACTGGCAAAATGTAACTTCAAAATATTTTCTAACAATGGAAGGAGCTCTAACAAATGTACTAGAAATTGTGATATACAAATCAGAAGACAGACAAAGACAAATAAGGGCAGAATATGACCTCTAACCAACACATGCAAGAGAGAATCACTTTGAAATCAGATCCAGAGAAACTTGATATTCAGAGTGAAAAACTAAAAAAGCAGGAGGATACCCTAGGTAATTACAGGAAACTAAGTAATTACAGTGAGAATTGTGAATGAATCAGCGAGAGCTACATGAACAAACAGCTAGCTCTAGAAAAAACCAAAATAGTTTATTAGAAAATTTTTAAAAATCTGGGAGACTAAAGCATCTATAGAAAACAAGAGAGTATACATTTCAATGTTAAAGTAAATACAATCATAAAAATAAAAGTATACAATTAATGCTGAGAAACAAAATAGATGGGCAGCAGATCAAATAAGCAATCTGGAAGCTAATATTGAGAAAAATCTTCAAGAACAAAGAATTAATAAATGAAGATATAAGAGTAAAAATGAAGACAGGGAGGGCTTAATAGAATGGAAGAGAAGAAATAAGAAACTAAGAGAAAAAAACTTCCCAGAAGCGAATAAAGAATTAAATCACCAGATGAAAAAATATTTAGGTATTATAATGACTTGTTTTAAAAATTAATTACTTCACAGAATAACCATTATACATGCATACACACATGCACACACCCATATATATATAGGATAAACTTGGCATAACATTATTAGACTTCAAATTACTATTCTGTCCTCATTTTAAGGAGTTTTTTTTTTATAAAAAATGTAACAATTCATACCACTGTAATGTACTCAAATTCAACGATGTATTCTGGCAAGACAAGGTCATGATCAAAGACAAACCACTTGCACTGCCGAAAGCCACAATCACAATTTCTTTGTCCCACAATAGAATCTAGAATAAAAACAAAACCAAGTGAAAAGTCTTCAAAATAAAACAGCCTACACCTTTTCAACCTTACATAGATTAATAATAAGTTATTATCAATAGCTTCCAAAGTTTTTTTAAAAAAACTTTCCATTCCCCCAAATAACTTTTTTATTCTATAAATACTTACTATCATCCTTTCACTACATAAACTAAGCCTCAATTTTATTCATCTCTCTGCTCCCTTTTATACTTTTACTTTAGTATTGAAAATATGGCCATGTATTTTTCACAAATGTATTACTCTAAATCTAATGATAAAAGTTAATTTTTTTATCCCTTGAAAACTAATACATTTATGTACACAAACACACATACACACATATACAATCAACCTTCCATACCCACATGTTCTGTACCCATGAATTCAAACAACTGCAGTCCAAAAATACTTTCAAAAAACTGCCTGTACTGAATGTGTACGGACTTTTTCTTGTCATTATTCCCTAAACAATACAATATAACAGCTATTTACACAACATTTGCATTGTATTAGATATTATAAGTAATATAGTGATTATTTAAAGTATAGAGGAAGGTTGCATAGTTTATTTGCAAATGTTATGCCATTTTATTTGTATTTTTGTGGGTGCTATGGATTGAACTCAGGGCCTTGCACATGTTAGGCAAATGCTCTACCACTGAAAGCAGCCCTCCATAGCATTTTATGTAAGGAACTTGAGCATCCATGAGTTTTGGTATCTATCAGGTGAAGGTCCTAGAATAGGTTACTCACAGAGAGAGAGAGAGAGAGAGAGAGAGAGAGAGAGAGAGAATCCTCTGTGTGTGTGTGTACACTTACAATATATAATTAAATTTTGCAAAAATAAACTATGCATGCAGAAAAATAAATGTCTTGAGGTATGGAATAGAAAAATTAGTAGCCAGAAATAAATGTTTTTTAAAAAGTTTACAAATCTCATTAGGTGGACGTTAAATTTTAAGTGTGTGCATTAAATATAAATGCTTTGCATTCAGAGTAATGAAAGCATATTTCTTTTTATGGCAGACATACTTAGTAAATATTTCCGAGGAATGAACACTGAGTTAACCATTGGATAGTTGGCTTGATTGATAGCTTCTTGTTCCCGAGCCTGAACACTCTGGCCAAGAAAAACTTTCGTAATGAGAAGGATGCCTAAATATGAAAAAACATAAATCACTTTTAACAAGAAATCACCTTAATTGACTTGACATATGTTGTAAAGGCAGAGATACTGCATAGCATACAGTACATAGTTGATATAAAATAGGAGCTCAATAAATATTTGTTGAATAAACAAATTGGTTATAAGAGAATCCTGTGATTATGCCAAGCAAGGCTTTACAGAAAAGAAACACTTAGCAAGACTATGTATCAAAATAAAATATAAAAAGTGTTGGGGATGTGGCTCAGTGGGTTTTGAACACCCTGGGTTCAATCCCTGATACCTCCCAAAAAAGAAAAGAAAAAGAAAGAAACAACATAATAATTTAGCATTTTTTTATTAAGTAATCTAAAATAAGAGGTTTTTTGGTTGTTGTTGTTAAATGAGTAAAATTCATCTCTGTGTCAAGTAACACCTGGCATGTACCTTAAATCCATAGAAGATATCAAGTATGTATCTACTGAATGGATAATCATTTCTTTTCCCTTTAGATTCTTATGATCCTTAGAATTCAATTCACTAAACATGAATCCCCGAGAATCAGTGAATCTGAAAATAATTTCTAATCACTGTGCATAAAACATTGAAATGTTTTTATTACTATGTACAAGATATTAAATATAAATTGCGAGAACTTAGTTTTTTTCCTTTGTGTGTGTTGATGTGTGTACATGTACATGTGTGTGTGTGTGTGTGTGGCACTGAAAAAGCTCTATGACTAAGTTATACCTCAGTCCTTTTTTAATTTTTACTTTGAGACAGGATCTCACTAAATTACTGAGTCTGGCTCTGAACTTGCAGTTCTCTTGCCTCAGCCTCCTGAGTAGCTGAAATTACTGGTATACATCACTGTGCCTGGCGTCATGAGATTTTTTTAAAGATGGAAACAGAGAAGAATGATAAAAAGCAGCAAATGGTTTTGCAAAGTAAGAAGTTCTATCTTGATTCAGTAATCAGCTTAAATTTCTTATTAACCAAATGAAGGACTACAAAATACACATCATTTAATTCAACATGAATCACTTTAGCAGAGCTATAGTTTGGAATCTAGAATGTCATTTTTACAGAATTACACTTATGAGTATCCTATATTCAGTAGGTCTGATGGTTAAGACCAAAGAATAAATGCCCCTTACTCCCTGATCTCATCTAGTCTCCCTATAATAATTTCTTTGGTACTACTCATTAATATTTCATGTTTATAGTCCTTATGAAAATTGTAATTTTACATTTATTTATGTGATTATTAATTTTTGTAACCACCATAAAGAAGAAACTGTCTGGTTTGCATAGACTGTATCCCTATGACCTACCTGTGCCTAGCACAAAGTAAGTATTCCATAAATACTTGTAGAAGTAAAGATAGAACAGTGGAAGAAAGTGAGGCAAGAGAGAACAGGATAGCTGTGAGTAAACTCAGAAATGTCTTATAAATTGATTCTTGTACTTATATAATTACATTATGTATTTAAGCTGCAAATAAAGTAGGTAATTGTGAATAAATTAAAATACCAAAACTCTTCTATAAGACAACTTATAAAGTAATACGTACATTTCACAATTTATCTATAGCTGGTTTTAAATTAGACCAGGTTTTCTTATCATCTTATATTATAATGATTCAACACATGAATAAATCATACCTTCTAGAGTGCTCTGATTATAATATTTACAGCACAAATTCTGTTCTCTCTTTCCTGTGAGTTTGGTGTATATTTAACATATATATGTTGAGTTTATTTTTATGACACAACATAATGAACAAAAGCAGGCTGTGTAAAATATATGCGAGTTGGATTAAATATCTGAGTAACAAATGGGTCTCTTCCTACTGATGCTGACACATAATAATCACTCATTAAGTATTTGTTGACAGTGTGGCTAACCTAATGAATGAGAAAATTATGCATTACTACTTTGATAAATATCAAAATGGTTTGAAGAAAATCTCTTGGTTGATAAAAGCAAGTATAAAAAGGTTATGAAAGTAATGCATTTGAAGACTTAGAACTTAACAGTTTAGAGACACTGTATGTTTGTATTACCGTGTCTGAAGAGCTCATGCTCAAGAGAGTTTTTCTTCTCATCTTTGTATTTTTGCTGTAGAAACTCAATTCGAGGACACTCACACAAACTTAGGCTATTAGCAAGAATAACAGCTTCTTTTCTGAGAGGCAGCTGCAAAGAAAATACAGTTGATTTTTTACAAAATTGATAATACTTTGACTTCAATACAGATGGCTTAGTATTTTTTGTTTATGTTTGGGCAAAGAAACCTACAGGGTAGATTCATTGAAAAGAAGTAGATAACCTCCAGGTGCAACTTCGTTCTGCAAAGTCATTTAAATATTATAAGTTCATATGTAAATAGACTTATTAAAAAAGTGATAAAGAACAAAATTTGTTCCTGGAAAAGTAGCCAAGGTCAAGATTGAGAACACTTTTGGTGCAGGGGCAACAGCTTTCAATGAGTACTCTACTAGCAATCTTGTTAACTCCAAAAACAAAGTCCTGTGAGAATGAGATATTACATCAGTGAAGGCTTTATTTACATAATAATTTTTTGGTCTAATAACCTACATTGTTTTCCAGAAACAAAACATTTCTTATTGTGCTTATGCATGGAAATTCTAGTTTGCATTGTGACTAGTTTAATTTCTTAACTTGAAGGATGAGTTGTTTGCCACAGGGAAAAAGAAGGAAATAGCATTTTATTAAAAAGAAACATGACATTGAGTTGTTTAGGAGAATCACAATGCTTCATTTGGAACATTTAATCTATCTGGTAACAGGGTTTTGTTTTGTTTTGTTTTTCAGCAGCACTGGGGATTGATCCCAGGACCTCACACATGCTAGGCAAGTGCTCTATGATTGTGCTACACTGAAGCTAGTGTCCTCTGTACTCCAGCCAGCCCTCTACCTTACAAAGACAGCCAACCAAAGCCAAATCCCTCATTTAAACTATTTACACAGCTGTCTAGTGACTCAGAGCCCATCTCAGAATGCAAAACATATGTATTTATCTTTACTCTTTGGATGAATCTCATGGCATAGAAATCTAGCATATCTGATCTTCTATATGCTTCTCAATAATGGTTCCCCCATTTCTAGGATTTCACATTGAGAGGAGTTGACAATATTTCAAGAAAGGAATCTCTATACTGCTTTCCAGATTAGCTACACCAATTTGCAGTCCCACCAGCAATGAATGAGTGTGTCTTTTCCCCCACATCTCGCCAACACTTTTTGTTGCTTGTATTCTTGATAACTGACATTCTGACTGGAGTGAGATGAAATATTAGAGTTGTTTTGATTTGCATTTCTCTAATTACTAGAGATGTTGAAAGATTTTTTCAGGGCTGGGGATGTGGCTCAAGCGGTAGCACACTCGCCTGGCATGTGTGTGGCCTGGGTTCGATCCTCAGCACCACATACAAATAAAGATGTCGTGTCTGCCGAAAACTGGAAAATAAATATTAAAAAAAAAAATTCTCTCTCTCTCTTTCTCTCTCTTTAAAAAAAAAAAAAAGAAAGATTTTTTCATATATTTCTTGATTGATTGTATATCTTCTTCTGAGAACTGTCTGGTCAGCTCCTTAGCTCATTTATTGATTGGGTTATTTGGGTTTTAAGTTATTTTTGGTTATTTTTTAAGTTATTTTTGGTTATTTGGGTTTTAAGGTTATTTTGGTGTTACGTTTTTTGAGTTCTTTATATATCCTGGAGATTAATATCTGATGTGTGTGTGGCAAAAATATGTTCCCAAAATGTAGGCTCTCTCTTTACCACACTGTTTTCCTTTGCTGAGAAGAAGTCTTTTAGTTTGAATCCATCCCATTTATTGATTCGTGATTTTATTTCTTGCATTTTCAAGGAGTCTTACTAAGGAAGTTGGGGCCTAATCTGACATGATGAAGATTTGGGCCTACTTTTTCTTCTATTAGGCATAGGGTCTCTGGTCTAATTCCCAGGTCCTTGATCCACTTTGAGTTGAGTTTTTTGCATAGTGAGATATTAGGGTTTAGTTTCCTTTTTCTGCATATGGATTTCCAGTTTTTCTAGCACCATTTGTTGAAGAGGCTCCAATGTGTGTATTTTGGCGCCTTTGTCTAGTATGAGATAACCATATTTATGTGGTTTTGTCTCTGTGTCTTCTATTTTGTACATGTCTATTTTGATGCCAAAACCATCCTGTTTTTGTTATTATAGCTTTGTAGTATAGTTTAAGGTCTGGTATAGTGATGCCTCCTGCTTCACTCTTCTTGCAACCACCATTTGACTCAGCTATCCCTCTCCTTGGTCTATACCCAAAGGACTTAAAAACAGCATACTACAGGGACACAGCCACATCAATGTTTATAGCAACACAATTCACAATAGCCAAACAGTGGAACCAACCTAGATGTCCTTTTATAGATGAATGGATAAAGAAACTGTGGTATGTGGCTTAGCAGTAGAGTGCTCTCCTCGCATGTGCGAGACTCTGGTTCGATCCTGAGCACCACATAAAAATAAATAAGTGAAATAAACGTATTATGTCCAACTACAACTAATATATATATATATATATATATATATACACACACACACACACACACACACACACTCTAAGTGAAATAAGCCAATCTCAAAAAACCAAAGGCCAAATGTTTTCTCTGATAAGTGGATGCTAATCAATAATGGGGGGGGGGCATGGGATGAGTGGAGGAACTTTGGATTGGCCAAAGGGGAGGGAGGGGGAAAGGGAGGGGGCAAGTGGATAGGAAAGATGGTGGAATGAGACAGACATCATTGCCCTAGGTACATGTATGATTGCACAAATGTTGTGACCCTACTTTGTGGGTAACTAGAGAGGTGAAAAATTGTGCTCCATTTGTGTACAATGAATCAAAGAGTATTCTGCTGTCATGTATAACTGATTAGAACAAATAAATAAAAAATAAATAAAATTCAAAAAATTATTTCAAGAAAGAAGGGCAGATCAGTCAACTTTAAACTCATGGTAGTGTATGTCAAGAGGTAAGACATGTAACAAAAAGGAAACAATGACAGGACAATTACAAAAATAGGAGAGCAATAGTGTAATCTCATGAGTGCCAAAGGAGAGTTTGAAAGGGAGAGAGCTCATACAAGAGAATGTAAGTACAATCAATAGCATCAAATGTTTCATACAATAATGATAAAATATAAAAACTTTCTATGTATCAGTCACTGGTCCAAGAACTTTTGGGGTAATTTTAATAATACATTTTATTTAATCTAATATAACCAAAATATTATCATTTATGACCAAAATTTTAGTCCTTTTTCTTCAATAAGTTTTTAAAAACTGGTGGGTGTTTATTTCACACTTATCAGACTCTCAATTTAGACTATCCTTATTTCTAATGCTCAGGTGGCTGTTCTAGCGAACACAGCAGCACAGAGAACTATTGGGAGAATTGAAGTAGATAGTTCATCTCATTAAGGAGATGGCAGGAGATGAAGCACTCAACACAGAGTCTGGTGGGTACAAAACACACAGGAAGTGTTGTTTCTGTCTTTCCCCACCGTCTTTCACAAGATGGTTTATAATTTTCAGAAGTGAATATAAACACTTTGTCTTCTAAGACCCTGAATTCCTCACCTCTTATTTACTTTCCAGAGAGTACAAGAGCATTTTTACCACCATCATCCTGCCAGGAGTATCACATCTCTGGCCTTAGCTGCCACAATAGTACTCCCACATAGTGCCCTGCCATGTCTGCCCCTACTCCCTCCATTCTCCACTGAGCAGTCAGAATGCATTTTTTATTGTGACAAACTATACACAAGATAAAATTCACCATTTTACTTAAGCACATAATCCTGTGGCATAGGTATATACATATTACTGTGTAACCATCACACCACTATTCAGCTCCAGATTTTTTCATTATTCCAAACGGAAACTCTATATCCTTCAAACACTAAACCCCCATTCTCTCATCTCCCCCAGTCCTTGGTAACATCTATTCTACCTCTGTCTCTAGATTGGCCTATCCTAAGTAATTCATATACATGGAATTATGCAATATTTTCATTCTGGCGTCCAGCATATTTCATTTACCAAAATGTTTTCAAGTTTCTTCCATATTATAGCATGCATCAGTATTTTGAGTATCTTTAGCTGAATAACTTTCCATTACTTGTATATGCCACCTTTGTTTATCCATTCATCCGTGGACACACATTTGGGTTGTTTTTACTCTTGGCTATTTGAATAGTGATGCTATGAACACTGGTGTACAAGCATCCAAGAACTTTTGAATGCATTATTTCACTAAATCCTACCAACAACTCTGCAAAATAGATAGCAATATTATTCACATTTTACAGCTAGGAAGAAATAGGCACAGAGATGTGAAGTCAAAGCTGTTGAGTAGTAAGGCCATAATTCAAATGCAGCATGATATGAAAAGGATTGGAAAGCACTGTTCTATGAAGATATGCTATTGCTGCTTCATTAAGAGGGTGGAGGACTGAGAAAAGCAATGTGGGAAAAGTGAAGTAAAAGAAATGGTGGCAGTAAAAGGAAAGATAAACCAGGATGATAGCTAGAAAGCACAGTAGGGTTAAGGTAATGATTATTTAAATATAGAGAAGACCCTGGAGAGTTTACAATAGATTAAAGATTCACAATGGATTTATAGCCAATTAAAGGATATTTCAAAAATCATCAACAAAAGGATCACAACATAAAAATAAGATGCCTAGAGGGATTAAGTAGAATCAGGCAGATAAAGTGATTAATGGATTTACTATGCTTTAATCCAAAAAGGAAAGATGCTATACTTTCTATGATGTCATTAAGCTTGTGAAACAGCAGACGTTTGCTATAAATATGGATGAAAGGATTGGGAATCATGCTTAACCAGTGGCAGAGCTGCACTCATTAAGAAGAAAACATTGTTCTAAGTGACATGCTACCTTGCTTGTCTCACTCTCTTTGAATCCTTTTTCAAGAATTTGTAGCAGATGCTTTTTCTTCACCATAACTTCAGGATCAAAAACATAAAAAAGGCACTCTAGCATCTTGCGATAAGTCCTTAAGAATAATTGAAACAGAAAAATTTAAAAAAAGGTTGAGAATTGATTTCACAAACATTTAGTCATAGATAACCCAATGGTTTATCCATGGGGTTATATTCTGTTCACAATGGATATTCCAGGGTCATTATTAATACCTCCACCCTACTACTCTTACTCTCAAAAGGAGGCCCAATGTGGATAAATTATGAGGTCATCCTACCCATGGAAAAATGCACTAAGAGGAAGTGTTTACTAAAAGGGTATATCATCAATTTTCTTGGACTTTTAAAATAAAGAATTTTTACAAACTAAAGCCAGACTTTTAAAAATTGTTCATTACGAAATTTAACTTCTTACTCTGAATCATGCATGCTTTCGTGATCCAAAAACTTTTGAAATTTCTCTTCAAATTTTAGTCTCAGAATACGGTTGTTAACTTTAATAACACGTTTTACTTTTACTCCTGTAACACCATAAGTTCTGAAGTCCCATGTACAGAAGCGTGATAGAATTAATTCATAGCAGGAATTAAACCTATATGAGAATACAAAAAAATACATGAAGAAAATAACAGATTTTCCTTAAAATACTTAAGAACACAAAGTTACATATAATAAAAGTTATGGCTTTTATTTTATGTTTTTTGCTAAAGACATAGAGTAGGGGCTGGGGTTGTGGTTCAGTGGTAGAGTGCTCGCCTGGCACCTGCGAGGCCCTGGATTCAATCCTCAGCACCGCATAAAAATAAATAAAGGCAATTGTGTCCAGCTACAACTAAAAAATAAATATTTTAAAAAAAGACATAGAGTAGATCTATTTTGGTTCAAACTGGGCATACTGATTCAGTCAATAAAAGGATGCTACATTTTCAAATACAGTTTAAAAAACCTCTTTTATTATTATTATATATTTCTTTGAACTAAAAGGCATGTTAGTTGAGTAATTCTCCCTTCCTGAAACTGCTGATCCTTTTTTTAAAGTCTCTCTCTCTCTCTCTCTCTCTCTCTCTCTCTCTCTCTCTCATGCTAAGGATTGAACCCATAGCTTTAGCATGCTAAGCAAGCATACTATCATTGAGCTACGCTCCTAATACTCTGCCAGACTTCTAAATGTTGGGTTTCCTCAGAGACCAATATTTGGCTTTCTTATTTCCACAAACACTCTTCCTAGATAACTTCATTTGTTTTATATACATGATAATAAATTACAACATTTTATTTCTAACCCTTTATCTCTATCTAACTTAACTGGATATGCCCAGACTTGAATTGAATATCCAGCTACCTACTTGATAGATCCACTCTCCACTCATGTAAGATGTCTTTTAAATCTAACTTATCCATCACCAGATCCTAAACATGCTCTCCCATCTCAGGATATGGCACAACAATGTATAGCTTAGGTCAAAGCCTTACCAATATCTAGTTCTGCATATCAATTTATGTCTCCCCCTAAAATATCATGCTGAACATAATCCTCTTTCCTTATCACACTGCTACCATCCAAGCCCAAGTCACCACTATGTCTCAGTTGGACTATTGCAATAATTTCCTAACTAGGGATATAGAAGAAAAAGAGGCAGTCTTTCTGCCTCTATTAGTCCCCTATTCCAAGGGGAGTAGATACAAAATGTTAGTAAATCTAAAAGTAAAATAATTTATAAACTGATAAGAGCTCTAAAGAAAGAGAGGCTTGAATGTAGAGAGAGCCCTACTTAAGATCAGGTCTTCCGGATGATCTTTCAGATAAGATAGTTGGCTTGAGAGCAAGAGGAGGAGGAGGAAGAGAAGGAAGGGCCAGTTATGGGAAAATTCCAAGAACAAGTATGTACTGGAGTGCTTGTTAGCTCTCTGCTTCCCTCACCTGGTTAATTATAAGATTATAATCCTGTTTTTAAAGTAGGACTGAAACTAGATAAAGATAAAATTGAAAAATTAAATTATTTTGACAAGGAAGTAAGTGATCCTGAATGGAATACATTTGCCTTCAATGACATGTCTAGGTCCTTACCTATATAATCAGGGTCAGCATGAATTAAAGTCACAGAAGTGGGCTTTCCTGTGGGTGGTTTCTCCATGACCCTAATATCTGAATTCCTAGTCTACCTGTTTTACTAACAAATATTTACTTAGTGTACCCAGGAGCTGACCATCATTCCTCTCTTAGAATTGAGAAATGATTTTCTCAAACCAAACCAATACCAGAGGAGATCACAGTACGTTAGAAGTGATAGTAAGGGTGAGGAATGCAAAGTTATACTGGGTAAAGGAAGCAGAGCAAAACCATTTACATGGTATCATGCATGCTTTAAGAACAGTTAAGCACACAGTTTATCTGACTCGAAAAGGTTAAAAGCATTGACGGTAATTTAGAGACATTGAATCTTTCACTGTAGGTAGAAGGTCTGAATGCAATTTGGAAGGTGGCAGATACTACAAAGGTTTTTTTTTTTTTTTTTTAAAAGAGAGAGAGAAAGAGAGAGAGAATTTTTTAATATCTATTTTTTAGTTTTTGGCGGACATAACATCTTTATTTGTATGTGGTGCTGAGGATCGAACCCGGGCCCCACACATGCCAGGCAAGCGCGCTACCGCTTGAGCCACATCTCCAGCCCTGTTTGGTTTGTTTTTAACAGAATATTTTCTGATTGATTAACAAATTCTGATAACCTGCTACATGCAGCAATGATATACTATTAAAATGTCTTCAACCTTGGCTTGTGGCAATAGTGTAAGCAGATAAACATAGAGGTAAGAAAATAAGTGTTATGATTTAGATATGAGGTATCTCCTAAAAGTTCATGTGTGAGCCAATGAAAGAAACTTTAGAGGTGAATGATTGATTGTGTTAGGAGGATCTTAACCTAATTAGTGCATTAATACCCTGATAGGGATTAACTGGGTAGTAACTGTGAGCAGATAGGACTAGAGGATGTAGGTCAATGAGGGAGTGCCTATTGGGTATATTTTTGTCCTTGTTGAGCAGAGCTCTCTCTCTACTTCCTGGTAGCCATGTCTTGAGCCTGTTACTTCCACCTTACTCTTCCATAAGGATGTCCTGCCTTACCTCAGGCCCTGAGGAATGGAGTCAGCCATCTATGGACTGAGACCTCTGAAACTGTGAGCCCTAAAATAAACCTTTTCTCTTCTAAAATTGTTCTTGTCAGGTTTTTTGCTATAGCAGCAAAAAAAAAAAAAAAAAAAAAAGACAACCCACCACCACCACTACCACCAACAACAAAAAAACCAAACTGACTAGTTTCAATTAGTAGCTGAATATGCTGTATGAGATATGTTTTGAAAATAGGACATTTTAAAATTATAAATTGATATTCTGGTTGGTGATCCTATGTACTTAAAGTTATTTTTTAAAGTTATACTTAAATTTCAAACAGATTTACCAGTCATCAGATCGAGTGCCTTCTTCAAAATGGATGTTTCCCACAGTCTCCAACTCAATTAGCAAAAATGGGATCAATAAGCCATGACTTTTCTTTTTTTGTTTTACTTCAATTCGATAAATTGCCTCAATTCTATTAAAGAAAAATAGATATATCAACTATTGGAATAATCTAAAAATCACGACACTAAAATTCACAATAGCTTTTTAAAAAATGTTAAAATATACATTTCCCCCTTTAAAAGTATTTTTGTGGTTTTGTTTTATTTTTAGTGTGTTATAGTTATACATAATGGTGGGGTTCATTTTGGCATATTCTTATATGCAAATAACATAGTTTAATTCCATTTCAATCCCTAGTACTACTCCTTCCCTACCTTCCTCTCACCTCCTGATCCCCTTCCTCTACTGTATAGATCTTCCTTCTATTTATTTATTATTTTTAATGGATACATTAAATTTATATATACAATTGGGATGCATTGTGATATATTCATACATCACCTAGCATAATTTGGTCAGCTTCATTCTCCAGTTCTTCTTCTTTCTTTCCCTCCCTCTCTCCCCCGTGGTTCCCACTTCTATTCTACTGATATCCCTTTTGTTTTAGTGACGTCCCATTTTACTCTATTCATTTTCTCTTCGGCTTCACATATGAGAGAAAACCTGTTGTTAACTCTCATATTTAACTTGTTAAATAAAGTCCAGGATATTCTATTTTGGGCAATTAAAATCACCTTGAAATTTATGAGCCTCAGAACAATAATTCCAGGGTGAAAAGACTGTCCTGGCTCTAATACTCCAGCTCTCAGATCTTAGACAAGTCATTTAGCCTTTTTTATGCCTCAGTTGGATAGCAATGTTGATAGTACCTATATATTAAAAGGCTGTTTTGAGGATTATATGTAGAACTCTCAGTAAGAGATTCTAACATGCTGCCATTAAAATTATTATAGGGCAAACTCACTTAATATACTTACTACCTTAGCAAATAAAAATTATAAAAAGTAAGAACTATGAACTAAATAAGGACTATATATGTTCTTTTGCTGGGTCTCATCTATTTGGTGAATTTTTGCACAAGTAATGCTTTATTGCTTTTAGTTTGGAGCCCCAAGAGCAACATCACACAGTCATTCAGAGAAAGCTCGTTTTTTCTAATTAAAAGCTGCAAAACAGTGTATGCCAGCTGTGAACCAATAATGCTTATATATACAAGGAATGGGAACTAAGAACACATTTCATATTTTACTTCATCTATAATTCTTTCCCATCCTGAATAAGGGAACTGAGCTCAATTCATAGGCCCAAACATTCTTATTCTCATGTTTCAAATCTGAACTAGACAATTCATTAAACATACTCATCTAGTTTTTTGTTCCAGAATGTTACCCTTTCAGTCAAGGCATTTAGTTTGGTCAGTATCTTCTGATGAAGAGTTGGGTCTTCTGTGACAGTTTCATGATTTTTTGGCTTTTCAACCTCAGTTAATTTATTGTTATTGAATCTATCACTGTGCCCTTTGCCAGATCCTTTGAGTTCAGCCAGTTCCCGTTCCAACTGTTGGAAAAAAAAATGCCAGAGAGCAAAATAAAGATAAAACATGGCAAAGGCAAAGTCTGAATTCAGATTAATTTTCTAGTGAGATATAGCAAGCAGTCAACTTAAATTAACAACAATGAAATCTAGGTAATAAATAAGCCAAGCTTCATATACGAATGTCAAACACATGATTTCAACTTTGATGCAAGTTTGGTCAGCTAATTTCTCTTGAACAAATGTTGACTTTAGATACTTGAAATAGGACAACTCTCAATTGAAAGAAATAGATTGTGAAATATTATTGAATTTTCTTATGCTAAAGACAAAGTAAGAATAAAAATAAATGATGGTTTTGTTATAAATAAAAAATTAAATTTCAAATAATATAATTTTTAACATGTCTCCTTTTCAATTTTCAATATTTTTCCAATTATGGGCTCTGGAAGAAAGGTTAACCCAAAAAAAATCCAAAGTTTGTACACAGCAGTACACCATTTTCCTTTTGCATCAGTCCCCTTATGGCTCAAAACAGCAATGGTCTTTTTTTTTTTTTTCAGATTTTGATATATTGTAGCTTTAGTTCATAATGAATTTTTTGCATTAACTTGGATATGTAAAAACATTGTACTAAATATTATTTATATTGATTACTTAGGCTTTGAGCACTCTCAAAATTTTGGGCCCAAGGCAAGAGCTTCATTTAACTCACTCTAATTCCAACCTCATAGGATTTCAGGATAAATTGTACTGTACATAAAATAAAAAATTTATTCATTATGTATATTTCTTTTCTAAAACAGCTATATCTACCTATTGAAAACAAATTAGGCATATTTATAGAAGTGTCAATAATCTACATAATCAATAGCTATTGTTTTTTACATTTGAAGATTTTACTTAATACAAGTGAAGCACTGTTAATCTGAAAATTAATCTCAAAACACTATAAAATCTTAAACTTTTTGGCACATTTTAGATTTTAGATTTTCAGAGTAGAGATGTTCAGTAAAGCCTGTGCAAATATTCCAAATCTAAAACACTTTGATCCTGAGCATTTGGATAGGGGATATTCTACATTGTATGTGCATTTACATAAGGAAATGGAAAATATGACTTTCATACATTGTTTTTCTGTGCTTTTTATTCAAATAATTTAAATTTTTATTAATGGTTTACTTTAAGAATATTTTTCTGATTATAAAAATTAAAACCTGCTCATTTAGAAAAAATATTAACTATTTCAAATCCTTTAATGGCTACATATTACTCTATCTTAAGAGTAACTTTTTTTCTCTTGTTAAACAGTCATGCAGATTCCAAGTTTTTGTTGTTATTAATAGCATAGTGATGAATAACCTCAGAATAGAGTGCTAGCAGTAGATTTACTAAGCCAAAGGCTGTGAGTATTCTTAGGCTGTTAATACATGTGACCTAAGTTACGTTCTCTTTGATGGTGTATTGTGTATCATGTTCACCTTCACCAGCCTGCATTCTGTCATGTACTTATGCTTTGATAGTTTTATAGGTAAAAATGTTTCTTGATATCTTAATTAGCACTTGGAAATTAATGACTGAACTCTTCTTTCAAGTGTTTATAAAGTCTTTTTAAAATTTCTTCTCTTAAGTGCTATTTTATGTATTTTGCTCAGTTTTTATATTTGGATATTTACTTTCCATCTTGTTTCACTTATGAGTACTTTTTTACTAAGGATAAAATCCCTTTGTCCATCATGTTTGTTGAAAATATTTTTTCAGATTATCATTTGCTGTTTAATTAAAATGCTTTTAAGTACAAAAATCATTTTACTTTGTTATAACTAATCTCCGTTTTGTTTCACTGTGATTTCTAGTATTCCTTTTTGGTAGGCTGAAGTGAGCTAAAGACTTTATATATTTATTCTTGAATTTTTTCATGTTTTCATTTTTTTACATTTAATCACCCCTGCCTCATTTACCTTTGGTAAAATAATACTAAGAACACAGCTCCCCTACTTCCACATAGCTTGATTATTTTTCTAATGCCATTTGTTGAACAATCTGTTATTTCTTTATACTTTTAAAATGTTCAATAAATTTTTATATATACAAGGGGGTTTTGAGGGAAATAATCCTTAATTTGGGGGATCCAGCTTAAAAAAGGAAATCCAACTTATTCTAGATAAAAGCCACCCATAATTTACTATTAAAGTATGGCTTGATTTAAAGTTTCCACTGTGTTGTATGGCTTAAAAGTATTCATAAAGGAATACCTTAGCACAAAAAAATAAGAAAATGAATTTTGAGCACAGCCTGCTGGTGTCTAAGAGAAATGCGGCTGAAATAAGTCTAAGGGTTCTCTATATCTCCAACTCATATTGAATCACATAGCTTTTTAAAAATTTCATCACTATGTAAGTCTATATCTTTTTTTTTTTAAATTTTTTATTGTTGGCTGTTCAAAACATTACATAGTTCTTGATATATCATATTTCACAATTTGATTCAAGTGGGTTATGAGCTCCCATTTTTACCCCATATACAGATTGCAGAATCACATCAGTTACACATCCATTGATTTACATATTGCCATACTAGTGTCTGTTGTATTCTGCTGCCTTTCCTATCCTCTACTATCCCCCCTCCCCTCCCCTCCCCTCCCCTCCCCTCTTCTCTCTCTGCCCCCTCTACTGACATTCGTTTGTCCCCCTTATATTATTTTTCCCCTTCCCCTCACTTCCTCTTGTATGTACTTTTGTATAACTCTGAGGGTCTCCTTCCATTTCCATGCATTTTCCCTTCTCTGTCCCTTTCCCTCCCACCTCTCATCCCTGTTTAATGTTAATCTTCTTCTCATGCTCTTCGACCCTACTGTGTTCTTAGTTACTCTCCTTATATCAAAGAAGACATTTGGCATTTGTTTTTTAGGGATTGGCTAGCTTCACTTAGCATAATCTGCTCTAATGCCATCCATTTCCCTGTAAATTCTATGATTTTGTCATTTTTTAATGCAGAGTAATACTCCATTGTGTATAAATGCCACATTTTTTTTATCCATTCATCCATTGAAGGGCATCTAGGTTGGTTCCACAGTCTAGCTATTGTGAATTGTGCTGCTATGAACATCGATGTAGCAGTGTCCCTGTAGCATGCTCTTTTTAGGTCTTTAGGGAATAGACCGAGAAGGGGAATAGCTGGGTCAAATGGTGGCTCCATTCCCAGCTTTCCAAGAAATCTCCATACTGCTTTCCAAATTGGCTGCACCAATTTGCAGTCCCACCAGCAATGTACAAGTGTACCCTTTTCCCCACATCCTCGCCAGCACTTGTTGTTGTTTGACTTCATAATGGCTGCCAATCTAACTGGAGTGAGATGGTATCTTAGGGTGGTTTTGATTTGCATTTCTCTGACTGCTAGAGATGGTGAGCATTTTTTCATGTACTTGTTGATTGATTGTATGTCCTCCTCTGAGAAGTGTCTGTTCAGGTCCTTGGCCCATTTGTTGATTGGGTTGTTTGTTCTCTTATTGTCTAATTTTTTGAGTTCTTTGTATACTCTGGATATTAGGGCTCTATCTGAAGTGTGAGGAGTAAAGATTTGTTCCCAGGATGTAGGCTCTCTATTTACCTCTCTTATTGTATCTTTTGCTGAGAAAAAACTTTTTAGTTTGAGTAAGTCCCATTTGTTGATTCTAGTTATTAACTTTTGTGCTATGGGTGTCCTATTGAGGAATTTGGAGCCCGACCCCACAGTATGTAGATCGTAGCCAACTTTTTCTTCTATCAGACGGCGTGTCTCTGATTTGATATCAAGCTCCTTGATCCATTTTGAATTAACGTTTGTGCATGGCGAGAGAAAGGGATTCAGTTTCATTTTGTTGCATATGGATTTCCAGTTTTCCCAGCACCATTTGTTGAAGATGCTATCCTTCCTCCATTGCATGCTTTTAGCCCCTTTATCAAATATAAGGTAGTTGTAGTTTTGTGGATTGGTTTCTGTGTCCTCTATTCTGTACCATTGGTCCACCCGCCTGTTTTGGTACCAGTACCATGCTGTTTTTGTTACTATTGCTCTGTAGTATAGTTTGAAGTCTGGTATCGCTATACCGCCTGACTCACACTTCCTGCTTAGCATTGTTTTTGCTATTCTGGGTCTTTTGTTTTTCCATATGAATTTCATGATTGCTTTCTCTATTTCTACAAGAAATGCCATTGGGATTTTGATTGGCATTGCATTAAACCTATAGAGAACTTTTGGTAATATCACCATTTTGATGATGTTAGTTCTGCCTATCCATGAACAGGGTATATTTTTCCATCTTCTAAGATCTTCTTCTATTTCTCTCTTTAGGGTTCTGTAGTTTTCATTGTATAAGTCTTTCACCTCTTTTGTTAGGTTGATTCCCAAGTATTTTATTTTTTTTGAAGATATTGTGAATGGAGTGGTTGTCCTCATTTCCATTTCAGAGGATTTGTCGCTGATATACAGGAATGCCTTTGATTTATGCGTGTTGATTTTATATCCTGCCACTTTGCTGAATTCATTTATTAGCTCTAATAGTTTCTTTGTAGACCCTTTTGGGTCTGCTAGGTATAGAATCATGTCATCTGCAAATAGTGATAATTTAAGTTCTTCTTTTCCTATTTTGATGCCTTTAATTTCTTTCGTCTGTCTAATTGCTCTGGCCAGTGTTTCGAGAACTATGTTGAACAGAAGTGGTGAGAGAGGGCATCCCTGTCTTGTTCCAGATTTTAGAGGGAATGCCTTCAATTTTTCTCCATTCAGAATGATGCTAGCCTGAGGCTTAGCATAGATTGCTTTTACAATATTGAGGTATGTTCCTGTTATCCCTAGTTTTTCTAGAGTTTTGAACATAAAGGGATGCTGTACTTTGTCAAATGCTTTTTCCGCATCTATTGAGATGATCATATGATTCTTATTTTTAAGTCTATTGATGTGGTGAATAACATTTATTGATTTCCGTATATTGAACCAGCCTTGCATCCCAGGGATGAATCCTACTTGATCATGGTGCACAATTTTTTTGATAAGTTTTTGTATCCGAGTGGCCAGAATTTTATTGAGGATTTTTGCATCTAGGTTCATTAGAGATATTGGTCTGTAGTTTTCTTTCTTTGAAGTGTCTTTGTCTGGTTTAGGTATCAGGGTGATGTTGGCCTCGTAGAATGAATTTGGAAGTTCTCCCTCTTTTTCTATTTCCCGAAGTAGCTTGAAAAGTATTGGTATTAGTTCCTCTTTAAAGGTTTTGTAAAACTCTGCTGTATACCCATCTGGTCCTGGGCTTTTCTTAGTTGGTAGTCTTTTGATGGTTTCTTCTATTTCCTCAATTGATATTGGTCTGTTTAGGGTGTCTATATCCTCCTGACTCAATCTGGGCAGATCATATGACTTAAGAAATTTATCTATGCCTTCACTATCTTCTAATTTATTGGAGTATAAGGATTCAAAATAATTTTTGATTATCTTCTGTATTTCTGAAGTGTCTGTTGTGATATTGCCTCTTTCATCCCGTATATTAGTAATTTGAGTTCTCTCTCTTCTTCTCTTCACTAGCATGGCTAAGGGTCTGTCGATTTTGTTTATTTTTTCAAAGAACCAACTTTTAGTTTTGTCAATTTTTTCAATTGTTTCTTTTGTTTCGATTTCATTAATTTCAGCTCTGATTTTAATTATTTCTTGCCTTCTACTTCTTTTGCTGTTGTTTTGCTCTTCTTTTTCTAGGATTTTGAGATGAAGTATGAGATCATTTATTTGTTGGTTTTTTCTTTTTTTAAGGAATGAACTCCAAGCAATGAATTTTCCTCTTAGAACTGCTTTCAATGTGTCCCATAGATTCCGATATGTTGTGTCTGTGTTTTCATTAATCTCTAAGAATTTTTTAATTTCTTCCTTGATGTCTTCTATAACCCATTGATCATTCAGTAACCTATTGTTCATTCTCCAAGTGATGTATTCTTTTCCCTTCCTTCTTTTATCGTTGATTTTCAGTTCCATTCCATTATGATCAGATAGGATGCATGGTATTATCTCTACTCCTTTATATTGTCTAAGAGTTTCCCTGTGACATAATATATGATCTATTTTTGAGAAGGATCCATGTGCTGCTGAGAAAAAAGTGTAACTGCTTGATGTTGGGTGGTATATTCTATATATGTCAATTAAGTCTAGGTTATTAATTGTGTTATTGAGTTCTATAGTTTCCTTATTCAACTTTTGTTTGGAAGATCTGTCCAGTGGTGATAGAGGTGTGTTGAAGTCTCCCATGATTATTGTATGGTGGTCTATTAGACTCTTGAACTTGAGAAGAGTTTGTTTGATGAACATAGCTGCACCATTGTTTGGGGCATATATATTTATGATTGTTATGTCTTGTTGGTGTATGGTTCCCTTGAGGAGTATGTAGTGTCCCTCTTTATCCCTTTTGATTAACTTTGGCTTGAAATCTATTTTATTTGATATGAGTATGGATACTCCTGCTTGTTTCCGAAGTCCATATGAGTGATATGATTTTTCCCAACCTTTCACCTTCAGCCTATGTATGTCTTTTCCTATCAAATGCGTCTCCTGTAGGCAGCATATTGTTGGGTCTTGTTTTGTGATCCATTCTACTAGCCTGTGTCTCTTGATTGGTGAGTTTAAGCCATTAACATTTAGGGTTATTATTGAGATATGGGTTGTTCTTCCAGCCATATTTGTTTATTTATGTTACTAAACATGGTTTGTTTTCCTCTTTGATTATTTTCCCCCCTTTAGTGTCCTACCTCCCACTGTTGGTTTTCATTGTTATTTTCCATTTCCTCTTCCTGTAATGTTTTGCCAAGGATGTTTTGAAGAGATGGTTTTCTAGCTGCAAATTCTTTTAACTTTTGTTTATCGTGGAAGGTTTTAATTTCATCTTCCATCCTGAAGCTTAATTTCGCTGGAAACACAATTCTTGGTTGGAACCCATTTTCTTTCAGTGTTTGAAATATGTTATTCCAGGATCTTCTAGCTTTCAGAGTCTGTGTTGAAAGATCAGCTGTTATCCTGATTGGCTTACCCCTAAATGTGATCTGCTTCCTTTCTCTTGTAGCTTTTAAAATTCTCTCCTTATTCTGTATGTTGGGCATCTTCATTATAATGTGTCTAGGTGTGGGTCTCTTATGATTTTGCACATTCGGCGTCCTGTAGGCTTCTAGGATTTGGGGTTCTGTCTCATTCTTCAAGTCTGGGAAGTTTTCTCGTATTATTTCATTGAATAGATTGCTCATTCCTTTGGTTTGAAACTCTGTCCCTTCCTGTATCCCAATGACTCTTAAATTTGGTCTCTTCATGTTATCCAATATTTCTTGGATGTTCTGCTCGTGGTTTCCTAACAGTCTTGCTGAGCTGTCTATGTTCTTTTCAAGTTGAAATACTTTATCTTCATTGTCTGATGTTCTGTCTTCTAAGTGTCCTACTCTGCTGGTAGTATTCTCAATTGAGTTTTTAAGTTGGCTTATTGCTTCCTGCATTTCTAGGATTTCTGTTTGTTTGTTTTTTATAACCTCTATTTCCCTGTATAGTTGATCTTTTGCTTCTTGGATTTGTTTATGTAATTCATTGTTGAAGTGATCTTTCATTGTCTGATTTTGCTGTCTGATGTCTTCCTTGAGACTCCAGATCATCTGAAGCATGTATATCCTGAATTCTTTATCTGACATTCCACCTGCAATGCTTGTGGTCCTTTCTTTCCTTGTCTCTTCATACTGTTCGCGTTCCTTTCTACTTGGTGAAACTGTTGTGCTATTGAATTTTCCCCCTATATATTTATATTGGTCTTGTATAGTTGCAAAGTCTCCCTCGCAGGCGCGGGCGGCGGCTCTGTCCCTCTGCGGGCCGCTAGGCTTGTTCTGTCGGTGGTCACAGTTCTGTCTACTTTGCAGGCGCAGGCAGCGGCACTGCCCCTCTGCAGGCCTCTGGGGCTGTACTGCCAGTGGGTCGCAGGTCCGCCTACCTTGCAGGCGCGGGGGGGGGGCGGCTCTACCCTTCCTCAGGCCACTGGGCCTGTTCTGTCTCTCGGTTGCAGGTCTGGCCTGTTCTGATGGTGGTCACAGTTCCGTCTACCTTGCAGGCACGGGGGGGAGGGGGCGGCTCTGCCTCTCAGCAGGCCGCTGCTCCTCTTCTGCCGGTGGGTCGCAGGCCCGCCTACCTTGCAGGAGTGATTGGAAGCTCTGCCACTCCGTGGGCCACTGGGCCTTTTCTGTCAGTGGTTACAGTTCCGCCTACCTGACAGGCGCGGGGGGTGTGGGGCGGCTCTGCCCCTCAGCAGGCCGCTGGGCCTGCTCTGTGCGTGGTCACAGTTCCCTCTACTTTGCCGGCACAGGGGGAGGGGGCGGCTCAGCCTCTCAGCAGGCCGCTGCTCCTCTTCTGCCGGTGGGTCGCAGGCCCGCCTACCTTGCAGGAGTGATTGGAAGCTCTGTCCCGCCGCGGGCCACTGGGCCTTTTCTGTCGGTGGTCACCGTTCCACCTACCTGGGAGGCGCGGGGGGTGGGGGGCGGCTCTGCCCCTCAGCAGGCCGCTGGGCCTGCTCTGTGCGTGGTCACAGTTCCCTCTACCTTGCCGGTGCAGAGGGAGGGGGCGGCTCTGCCTCTCAGCAGGCCGCTGCTCCTCTTTTGCCGGTGGGTCGCAGGCCCGCCTACCTTGCAGGAGTGATTGGAAGCTCTGTCCCACCGCAGGCCACTGGGCCTTTTCTGTCGGTGGTCACCTGGCAGGCGCGGGGGGTGGGGGGCGGCTCTGCCCCTCAGCAGGCCGCTGGGCCTGCTCTGTGCGTGGTCACAGTTCCCTCTACCTTGCTGGTGCAGGGGGAGGGGGCGGCTCTGCCTCTCAGCAGGCCGCTGCTCCTCTTCTGCTGGTGGGTCGCAGGCCCGCCTACCTTGCAGGAGTCCTATATCTTTTTTGAATTGCAGATTTCTAGAAACAGAATTCAGCTTAGTTAATGTCTGGAATCAAAACATTTTTAGGGCAAACTTGACTTGAAATTCAGCATTAACGTTTTATATACATATACGCATATATGTATATACACATATACAATTTTACTATCTTATCTGTCAGTTATCTTAAGATGTAGCTCCTGAAATTTTACATTATTAAGGCTTACATTTTTTTTCACAAAGCTGAATAATTTTATTCTTTCTTTTGGCAATTTCTGCAATTTGCATTTTCTATCATTCAGTTTTTCAAGGTCTTCATTAAGATGCCTCTGAACAGTTTTTATACGCATATTGTAATACATTATTTTTTTCATTGCTGTGGTCTAAAAGCAAGAAAGAGATCAGCAAAAACAAATTATAGGTAATTGTTCTATATAACAATTTGAAAGTTTTGTTAGCTTAATCACTAATAACAATGCAGCAATGACAACAGCTCACAGGGTTCTATATTTAAATTTAATATGCAGAATATAAAATTTCAAAGATTCTTTTTGTGGATAATATTTATGTGGGAGGCATATTCACCTTTATTTTCAGTATGACAACACACACACACAAAAATAAATTATAGATAGAATTAAATTTATAAGAGAATCATTTGAGTAATGGTACAGTACTATTAAAGAAAACATAGCAACATTATTCCTATCTGAATAACTTAGGGAAAAATAAAGAAATACAAAGGAATTAAAAGTAAATGTAATATTAATTCATTCTGTAAAATGCTAAGAAATTGAATTTAATTTCTTTTTTTCCATATCTATAAAAGGATGCTTTACATGAACTGGTTTTAGACTAAGCAAATGACTAAAATGTCAATCTAACCCAATCATTTTGAATTCCTTAATACTAGTGGATCATCCAGTTATTAATAAGCTAAACATGATAATTTAATTAAATCCATCATTATGAAACAGTGCTTGCGAGTTGTAGTAGCCGAAAAGAACCATCTGAGAAGAACATAAACCAACTACGTATTCTGTAAAAATGATTTTAACCTGGTTTAGTGTTTCTCTTTACCAAGAAATAATAGTGTTTTCTCTTTACCAAGAATAAATTGGAAGACTCACAGTTGTAGACGTGTATTTTCTCTGACTGAAGGCTCTTTTGTATGATTTTTTTTAGTACAGAGTATATAATCTAGTCCCAACAGAATTATTTGGAATAAAACACAGAATAGAAATAATATATGGTATGCTGAGAAGGCCAAAAGAATTTCCTTTCCATGTGCATAAGAAGTCTGCAACTGAAATCACTAAATTCCTTTGCTAAAAATAAGGCATTCATAACTTAGGACAGATGAAAAATGTTTTAGTATGATAATAAACTAATTTAAAAACCCCTGATTTAAGATGAACTTAATTTCTGAGGTACAACTGAATCAGAAGAAAAAAACTGTAACTTAAGAAGTAGCAAATGATGTTTTTTCTTTCCATGTATGGAGAGAATGGAAAATCCAATGCAAAATTCTTTGAGTAAGTAACAGCTAAAAAGAATTTATAATTAATTCTTAAGTCTAAAACAACAAAACAAACAAATAAAAAGATGGGGTGGAAGTAGTTTATTTTCCTGGAAAAAAACCCACAAGAGACAAAGTTAAATTTCAGATAAGCAGCAATGTTTTAATATCATACTTACTAGACATACTTATGATACTAAAACATTCATTATCATTTCTATGAAATTCAAATTTAACTTGAATACCCTCAAGTTAGAGAAAAAAAGATTCAAAATATTACACTTAGTTTGTTTAAAACAGTGTTTTTGATTAAGCAATATATTCACATGTATCAAAAACAAAAATATCAAAAGATATGAAGAAAACTATACTTCCCACACCTATGTCCCATTTCCAAGTTGCCTCATCTTTCATAGGTAATCACTTATTTTAGTTTCTAATGTATTTTTCACATTTCTTCTATTTTTTCCATTATTAAGAATGTACCCATGTCTTTATAAATTGTGATATTGTACTATTCCTAAACTTTTTCAAAATCACTTTTGTGTGTTACAACAATAAAACATTTATTGTAAGGGATTGTTGTTTAAGAATATTTATTAAGATTCTGGAAAAGTAAGATTCTTTAAACTATGAGTATATTCTTATGAATTATGAATATCTGACAGCAAATCAACTTTGTAGGATGACTGCATGTAATTTTCTTTTTGTCTTGAACTTTTAAGAATTGATGCCAAAGTCATTTTCAAGAACTCTGGTATAATTGCTCGCCTGTTAAAAGTTTTCCTTACAAAATTAATCTAATTAATGCTAAATTCAGTTGCGTGTGTGTACTAAGACTACTTTGGTCCCTTTGCTTCTTTGATGGTCAAAACCAATTAAAAATCATACAGACGCATACTTGAGTATGGTTTCATAGCAATCGTTTAAAAAAATTTTTTTGTAGTTGTAGATGGACAGAATGCCTTTATTTATTTGTTTATTTTTATGTGGTGCTGAAGATTGAACCCAGTGCCTCATGCATGCTAGGCAAGCACTCTGCCACTGAGCTACAGCCCCAGCCCTCATAGCAACATTTTTATAGAACCTAACAATTAAGATGGACTTTTATGCATATTAACTCATTGGATCCCTACAATAATCCAGTGGTGAAGAATAGATATTTTATTTCTTATCTTTATTTTAATAGTTCAGAAAACTGAAGTTCAGTGAGTTGAAGGATCTACCTTAAGAAAAGGCAGGGATTCAATTCAAGTCTTTTGATCTGAACCCACATTTTCTTCTTCTATCTCAGGCTGACTCCCTGGAAGATTCTGTCTTTACTTGTCACTTGTCATATGCACAAACTATTTCATAGTCATGGGTAAAAATATGAAGAATCAATAGCACTCTGTTGAAGAGCTTACCACAGAGAACTGCTGCAACTTGACATCTTATGAATGATAATAAAGAAAGCATTTAAAAAATCTATATCAATGGAATATTACTCAGCATTAAAAGAAAATAAAATTATGGCATTTGCAGGTAAATGGATGGAGTTGGAGAATATCATGCTGAGTAAGTAAGCCAATCTCAAAAAAACCAAAGGCTGTATGTTCTCTCTGATAAGTGGATGCTGATAAATAACAGGAAGGGGGAAGGCATGGGGAAAATAGAGGAAATCTGATTAGGCTAAGGGGAGGGAGGGTGGGTAGGTAAAGTGGGGAAAGATGGTGGAATGAGATGGACATCATTACCCTAGGTACATGTATGACTGCACATATGGTGTAACGCTACATTATGTACAACCAGAGAAATAAAAAGTTGTGTTGCAATTGTATACAATGAATCAAAATGCATTCTGCTGTCATATATACCTCATTAAAATAAATAAATTAATAAAAAAAAATCTGTGTCAAGCTGGGAGTGGTGGCATATGCCTGTAATCCTAGCGGCTCAGGAGGCTGTGGCAGGAGGATCCTGAGTTCAAAACTAGCCTCAGCAAAATGCCAAATGACATACTACTCATCCACAACATTCCCTTGTAATTCATCTAGCCCACAAGTTTAAGTACCATCTTTCTTCTTGCAATTCTCATATTTATCTCTCTACCTGGGAAAATCTCTTAAAATAGCAGACCCACACATTCCTTTGGATGTTCAAAGGCTGTTCAAACTTTACATACCTAAAATTAAATTGTTATTCTTCCTCCTAAATATACTTCTCCCATACTCTTCCTCTGTTTTTCAAATAAATTTTAATTGCTCAGGCTTATAAATTAGAATTATTCTCTACTTATTTCCTCTGTACTTCATACCCAATAAATTCATCAGCAAACCCAGATGTAACTACTAACAGAATCTGATTACTTCTTATGTTGTCTTCCACTAACACCCTGTATTGAAACATCTGCATCTCTCATCTGAGTTACTGGAATAATTTTCTAATCCTCGATTCTTAATCAATTATCCAAAGAATTCCTTTAAGACATATCTTGGTCCTTCTTTGCTCAAATTTTTCCAGTGGCCCTATCTCCAAAGTAAAAGCCAAAGTACTTACAGCATTCTACAGAGTCTTACATAATCTGGTACCTTCCACTCCTGTCTTCATCCCTTAGTTTTCTTTCCTTCAAATACTCAGCTCCAGCCATATGCTTTCTTTGTTGTCCTTTAAATAGGCATGTTCCTGTACCAGGGACTTTGTACTTAGTGATCCCTGTTAAAGCTCTTCCCCAGATATTCACATGACTTGCTCCCTCACTTGTTTCGGGTTTCTGCTCAAATGTTGCATTATAAGAAAATCTTTTTCTGACAATTCTATAATAAAAGAGCCAATACCCCTTTCTCTGTCCATATTAACAACCTCTTTTCATTTACCCTTGTTTTATCTTTTTTCCATACCATTTATCAGCATTTAACATGCTAGTCATTTAATTCAGTTGCTTATTATCTGCCTTCTTCACTGGACTATATGCTCCAAGAAAGCAGGGATTGATTTGCTTACGCTGCATCTCTAGTGACTTAAACTGTGGCCAGAATATAACAGGCATTAAATATTTGTTAGATTAATGAGCCAACCAACTAATTTTTGTAGAGCATGTTCATTCTGTTTACTTTTGTGAAATCTCTGATATAAAATTAGAGATAGTAGAAATTTAAAAAAATATGGTTGATACTGTGAAGTTTTGCAGTGTTTTTTTTAAGCATTACTAGAGAAAACATTCCTCCCTGGGCCTCCAGTGACTCTGAACATCTGCCAGTAGACAATGGCATTAGCTTTTTGCTCCATATTACAAGATAGTTCACTTCTCAGATTAAAAATGAGAATAATCTCAATGTTAGAATAAAAGTGAAGAAAAAGGGGGAACTTGAGAATTAATTCATAGCACAAAAAGAGAAACAAGATAAATAGATAAAGACATTCTTTATCTATGTTGAGAAGATGCATGGGCCACAAAGTGGAAGGTCCCTTATATGGGGCATCCACATTCTTGGCACATTATAGATACTCAAAGTCAATTTATGATTAACTGAATGAACAAATGGATTGGTTTTATATTGAGGATCATTCAGACACAAATCCGTCAAGTGAGGCAGCCTGGTTAAGTTAGTGAGGTCCTAAAACAAAGATGTTTGCAAGGGGAGTGGCATTGGCCTAAAAGAGAGGTAGAAAAATGATATAGAAATACAAGTAATGAGCATGGAGAATTCCCATGAACTCCAGTGTAAAATTATAGATCCCTTGGTGACTTGTGAAAAGTCCCTTATAGGAAGGTTCATTGTCAGCAACAGCCCAGGAACTACTCTCTTCATGATTTCAAGAGTGTAATGACAGTGTGGAGGGCCACTTCTACTCCGAGTGACTCTCAAACCATTTTTAATTAGATTAAAATCTACCTAATTTTTGGCATACTACCATCATCAATGGATACTTTATTATTTCTATATGTAATATTCCAGATGAGAGGTAGTTACTTATTATATTTTTACTGTTATTTATATTTTAAGTTTTTATTTTCAGCAATAGTTCAGTTAGTTTAGCATTAATGGATGCTTCATATTTCCTTCTTTAAATTTTGTACAGATTATAAACAATTTTTTTAAAGTATTTCACCTTCCAGTATTATCATCAAATTCTAGTATTAATGTTATTATTTGTATGCTTTCATGTGAAATATCTTGTTTACTGGGTAAAAGAAGAATTAGAGACAAAAAATAATGAGACAAAGACAGAAAGAAGTTAATTATCAAACTTAAGTCACAGATAGTTAATTAGGAATACACTTACATCTGCCAGTTCCTTGATCTGTTTGGCTGACACATCAAATGTGTCAAGTCTTTGAAGGCAAGGCAAGTGATACAATACATGTGTGGAATAATTACACAGCAGACAAACTGGATTGGTTTTATATTGAGGATCATTCAGACACAAATCCCTTAAGTGAGGCAGCCTGGTTAAGTTAGTGAGGTCCTAAAACAAAGAGTAATAATAATATTCAGTTAATTAAGTGTGAATATCCATTTCTAAAGGAGGCATGTGAACAAGTTGAGGTCATCTATAAGTTAATGTAAAACATTTTAACTACATACTTAAATATGTTAAAGTAATTCAGAGGGCTAAAATATTCTTTAGTCAAAAACATGTTAAATTCCTGAAGAAAAGATCAACAATAACTAACATCAGACTTTGTACAACTATATTTTTTCTATATTTACCAAACCATATAAATCAATTTGAACCTTGGAGCCATCACACATGTTGCCACCTCTGCACAGCTCCTTTTGCTAACAATTGCCCCCAGGGTTCCTGGAGTGCTCTGCTTCCTTCACCTCTATGTCCTACACTTACCACCAAGAAACACTGCTCTCCATCTTCCTTGCTCCCCAGATCTGACATATTTACAAAGGTTAGGGGAACCCATTCTGTTACAATCACCATGGAATTCTTGATTTCTCATTGTTTTCTGTTTGCTTGCTTTGCTTTTTCTATAAATGCCCCTTCTACCTATTATGATCAATTTTAAGCTAGCTTTCTTGGAGGGCCTAGTTTCCTCACAACCTATGGAGGTGGAAGGCTCGATCATGTATTTCCAGATCAATATTTCTTCTTAACATATTTTATTCTGATCTTTAAGTCATTGTTTATATTTTCTTTTCTTTCTTTCTTTTTTTTTTTTGTTATCTGGCCCTTGCTTAATTCTTCAGTCTTACCTCTCCCTGCTTAAATTCTGACATTTTATGTTTTGGCCATACTGAATTACTTGTAGCTTCAGAATGTGCCAGAACCTATTTTATTTTTAGACCTTTACTCATATACAGTTCATTTTGAGTTGACTGAACTTCACCCAGCTTTGCATATTAATCTATCTAGGCCCAATCCAGTTTTCACCTTCTTTGGGAACCTTATTTCAGACCCCAAGGTTAGAGTAGATGAGTAGAACCTATGAGTTCTTTTAGCCACTTGGCTTAATTTTGTTATAGAATTTATCAGTCTGAATTGACAATTGCTTGTGAACCCAGCAAGTCATATGCCAAGGGTCTATATGAGCTTTAGCATTCAATCTATAGTCTAAGAATTGTTTACATTTATAAAGTGTTATAAAAAATAAAAAAGAATATGCAGCAGAAGGCAATCTGTGATCCAAAAAACCTAAAATGTTTTCTATCTGGCCTTCTGCAGGAAAAGTAGAGACAAACTTTTCCTGTCTCCACTGAGACAAACTCAGGGATTGTACCTTGTTGTATTCCCAATACTCAGCATGTAGAACACAGAAGGCTTTAAATAAACATGTAAATTGAATCATTGTTTTCTACCAACTTCTTTCCAAGAAATCCTTATAATGTCCTTATTTCTAGGATGTTGCCTGAGGTAGGAGGGTACTAGGGTGGGGTGAAACTTGAAAGGATGTGATGATAGGTAATAGAATCAGAATCATTAATTAGGAGAAATTCAAAGGAAGAACCAGGAAGTATTAGTTTTTTTTAAAAAAATTTTTTGTAGTTATAGATGGACACACATATTTATTTATGTGGTGCTGGGGATTGAACCCAGTGCCTCACATGTGCTAGGCAAGTTCTCTGCCACTGAGCTACAGTTCCAGCCCCAGGAAGTATTAGTGCACCAAAACAGACTGCTAGACCAATGGTACAGAATAGAGGACACAGAGACTAACACACAAAATTACAATTATCTTATATTAGACACAGTTGCCAAAATCATGCATTGGAGAAAAGATAGCATCTTCAACAAATGGTGCTGGCAAAACTGAAAATCCATATGCAACAAAATGAAATTAAACCCCTATCTCTCACCATGCACAAAACTCAACTCAAAGTGGATCAAGGACTTACGAATTAAACCAGAGACTCTGCATCTAATCAAAGAAAAAATAGGACCTGATCTTCATCATGTGGGATTAAGCCCCAACTTCCTTCATAGGACTCTTATAGCGCAAGAATTAAAACCAAGAATCAATAAATGGGATGGAATCAAACTAAAAAGTTTATTCTCAGCAAAAGAAACAATTTGTGAGGTGAAGAGAGAGCCTACATCCTGGGAGCAAATTTTTACCCCTCACACATCAGATAGAGCACTAATCTCTAGGGTATATAAAGAACTCAAAAAGCTAAGCAACAAAAAAAAACCAAATAACCCAATCAACAAATGGGCCAAGGACTCGAATAGACACTTCTAAGAAGAGGATGTACAATCAATCAACAAATATATGAAAAAAATGTTCATCATCTCTAGCAATTAGAGAAATGCAAATCAAAACTTCTAAGATATCATCTCACTCCAGTCAGAATGGTAGCTATTATGAAGACAAACAACAATAAGTGTTGGTGAGGATGTGGGGAAAAAGATACACTCATACATTGCTGATAAGACTGCAAATTGGTTCTGCAAATTAGCTGCAAATTTTGCAGCTAATATGGAGCAGTATGGAGATTCCTTAGAAATCTGGGAATGAAACCACCATTTGACCCAGCTCTCCCTCTCCTCGGTCTATACCCCAAAGACTTAAAAACAGTATACTATAGGGACACAACCACATCAATGTTTCTAGCAACACAATCCATAATAGCTAAACTGTGGAGCCAACCTAGATGCCCTTCAGTGGATGAATGGATAAAAAAAATGTGGCATATATACACAATGGAATTTTACTCAGCAATAAAAGAGAATAAAATCATGGTATTTGCAGGTAAATGGATGGTGTTGGAGAAGATAATGCTAAGTGAAGTTAGTCAATCCCCAAAAAACAAATGCCGAATATTTTCTCTGCTATAAGGAAGCTGACTCATAGTGGGGTAGGGAGGGGGAGCATGGGAGGAATAGATGAATTCTAGATAGGGCAGAGGGGTGGGAGGGAAAAGGAGGGGGCAGGGGATTAGCAAGGATGGTGGAATGTTACAGACATCATTATACAAAGTACACGTATGAAGACACGAATTGGTGTCAGCATACTTTATATACAACCAGAGATATGAAAAATTGTGCTGTATAACTGCAATATGAATTGTAATACATTCCACTGTCATTTATTTTTTAAAAAAATCAATAAAAAATAAAATAATTTTTAAAAAGGTAAATTACAAATAGAATGGGAAGGAGAGAATGAAGTCAGGATGCTAAAATGAAGAGTAAAACAGTGTCAGGTTACCAATATGTGCCCAAACTCTCTCTGGACAATTAAGAATATGGTTCACTGACCTGACCTCAGGCTAGAACTGGGCCCACAAGTGGAGTGGGACTAAGAATTTCTCTAAAAGGGAGATTTATGGACAGAGCTATGCACATAATCATTTGACTGAATTCTGCAGGGGCAAGGAAGATAAACCATCTGATGTCCCAAGAAATAAAGATGCCTTTTGATTACTGAGTGGCTATGTTGCTTTTGACCATCAGTATGGGTTAGGAGATAGAGGGTGTGAACTCAGAAATCCTACTAAGGAACCCTCTACCTACACTCAAAAGTCAGAAGAGGTTGGAATCCATGAAGGCACAAAATGTCATTGAAAGTTAGTGTTATGGTGCCTAGTAGAAGTTATTCCATCACCATCAGGATAGTATCTTTTTAGGGTGGGACAAAAGGTTAAAGATAAAAATATAGGTAACAGTGTTGCAGAAACATTTCTAATATGAGGATGGTAAAGTTCCTGTGAATCATATTCAATGTTTTTATGGTAAGTTGCTAGCATTATCATATATAGTCTTTCTAATAGTATATCTTACAATGAATTTTCACAATAGTCCTATTTTACCATACCACCATTTAAAAAAATAAGGACATAGAAATATAACAGGCCAATATAAGTATAATAGCAATACAAGCAATAAAACAACACATATTTATTATTGAGCCCTTAGTATGTAATAGTCACTATTCTAGTAGTTTTACATTATTTTTCACTGAAATTTTATGCTACAACTGTATTATGCTACCTCTGGTATAGGTCAGGACTAGAACTAACAGATCTCTCTGCTTACTCAGCCTGTGCCTGTAATCACTAGAAGGCTGCATGGCAAACTACAGTAAGATAAACTTCCACATGGCTTCTTCGCAGGGCAGTTGCATAGCCTCCCAGCATTCTGCACTTATCTCCTTCAGCCTCAGTCTCATGAATCTCTCCCTTGCCTTGTTCCAGTCACATAAGACTTCTAGTTTCTTTTCTTTTTTAAATATATTTTAAGATGTTGCTGGACCATAATTTTATTCATTTATTTATATGCAGTGCTGAGAATCAAATCCAGTGCTTCATATATGCTAGGCAAGAGCTTACCACTGAGCAACAACCCCAGTACAAGACTTCTACTTTCTTGAATTGGCCATGCTCCTTTCCACCACTTAGGGCCCTCATCCATGTTCTAATTTTGCCTGGAATGCTCTACCTCAGCTACTCCTACTCAGATTTCACATATTAACTAAATATTACTAACCCCCTTCAAGGATGACTCCACAAGGCTAGGTCACCTTTTTATATGTTGCCACACACTCTAAATTTATCTTTCACAGTTCTCTCCGACTTCTTCCGAAATTTAAAAATATCTACACCTAAAGTTTTGTCCATATTTCACATTGTTTTCTTGGAATAGATTCCTAAAAGTAGACTTGATAAAGGATAGAAACCTTTTTATAGGACTTGGCATATAATGTCTAAATGCTTTCTAGAAAAGCTCTATCAATTTAAATAACTCCCAAGATCATATAATTGTCCTTTTTACCCTAGTCTTTCTAGCATATAGAGTACTATGTTTATTTAAAATTGCCTATTTAAAATATGATCAGTTTAACTCCTGAACTGATCATATTTTAAATAGGCAATTTTAAATAAACATAGTACTCTATATGCTAGTAATGTTTTGAACAACCAATAAAAAAAAATAAAAAAAAAAAAAATAAAATAAAATATGATCAGTTTAAAGTTACATGTTTTAATTTGCATTCTATTCATTCTCAATGAGATTGA